ACTTTAAGCGCGAATAATTAACAATTTTAATATTAAACTGGGCGGTATATCTCACGCGTTTTGGACCTGATGCAGTTCACGATTTACGATACAGCATGATCGAATATTCCTGCAAAATTAAAGCCGGATAATATTTTATCGTGATCCTGAAACGTAATTCTCGGGCCATTTGACACCCGCCGGATCGTTAGATCGCCCAAACGCTGTGTCAAATATTAGCCCGAGCGGGCTGCCGATGTCTCCGCGAAATACGATCGAGTGCAGCGGCTAATTGGAGACAATATCGAGACAACTATCGCGAGCTACGCTATTATTCCAGCGTCACCGTTGATACCGTGAATTATCTCGCGTCCGATGGCGGTTCCTGCAACGATCCATTACGCGGGACCGAAATCGGACGTTGCAGCGTATCCGCGCGAAGGGCGCTCAACGCGGCAATAAAATCTGATTCGACGAGTGCTGCAGGAACAATACGGAAACGACCGTGCCTTCAGGTACGATCGTTAATCCCGGGGGTGGCGATACGAAAATTCCTCTTCCTCGGTGCCACGGCCGTTTCTACGCGTAGCGGATCTCGAATTTCGAAAGTTTTACACGCGTAGTAGTAACGGCAGCCCGCGCGGCGCCTGGCCGAGGCATCGAGAGGCCATCGTCGCGAAATTAAACGATAAATCAGTAAATCGTTTCGCAGGGAAGTGATTAGTGCCGGCAGTAAAGTCGCCGAGGTGGGGGGAGGGCGTCGGAAAACCGGCTTGAATTCCACCCCCGCGGCGCAGCCACGCGCTCTCCTCTTTCGCCTACCGTCGTCCTTAATCTCCAGGCTGTTGCCGTCCCGAGGACTTCCTCCTCTCGCGCGCCCAAACATCGTTTCTTCTTTCCTTTTGCAACCTGGCCTCTCTCGCGACTCGATAACGCCTCGTCGATCTTGCAATTTTGACGAAGTCGGTTCTAAAATCATCAGCGTCGTTTAAAAAATGTAAAATAACACTTCTAGCTTCTATTTTACATGATAGAACATTCGATTTGGAATTCGATAACGCCTGGTCTTGGAATTTTTGCGAAATCGATCCTGAAATTATCAGCGTCTTTTTATGGACTAAAATCAGAGTTCTAGCTTTTGTTCTGCTTGGTAGAATGTTAGAAGATCGACGGCTTATGGGGTATGGTGGGAGCGTATGTTTGAGGTGGAATGATGCCTACTTACGAGGTTAGCCGTTACGGTTCGTATTTAGAACCGGAAGATATATGTGGCGAGGTCCTCCCCCAATAAAGTCTGACATTGTAGAATGACCTCAGCAGGGAGCGCTTAATGGCGGGGCGGTAAGGCTGTAATTTTCGAAGGGCAAGCTCTTGGAGTCGGTGCTTCGTCTTGTATCGATTTTCGGCTTGTTACGATTGGCAACATATTGCGGGGTAATTTTCGGTACAAGGGTCAGCCATGGAGGATCGCTCGACCGCGAAAATCCACCGACTCGTGAAAGGAAAATTCGTCCTCGTTACGATCGTCCGAGTTCTGGGTGGTCCAACGACAGCTGACGCTCCCTGCTACCAACTAAATATAAAAAAAAATATTTACGAAAGCAAAGCATATGTGAATTCTTAAAAACGTACACTTCTACCTAATTTATCTTGTGAAAGTATTAATCAGGAAAGATTTTTATTAATGGAGGGTGGTTGGGATTCGGTTAGGGCGGGACTCCATTCCCAGCAACCACCACGTGGTGGGTCCTGGGTAATATTATTTAGCGTTTAATTAATAATCACATCACTCTTAGCTCGGGCAATGCAATTATTAATTAAAAGCTAAATGATATGAGCAAATTGGCTGCGATACTCTTTGCATATGTTATCATAGATATAGAGCTTCTTCGTTAGTTTTGATTCTCATTGATTCATCGACGATTCTAGAGTATTGTCACAGACGAGGTGTACGATGTATTTTTTCAGCCCTTTTTCTAAGGTCTCGAAACCCCATTACCATAGTCAACTCACTCAGTGAATAGTTTCTCAACTGACCGCCATCCATGAGAAGAGGACGCTAAAATCACCTCCGAATTGTTGGTATGGCAGTCATATTGGACCACGAAAGTCCGTAAGGTGTACTTGTACACCTCGTCTATGGTACAAGTAGACCTCACACCTTACGGACTTTCGTGGTCCAAGTTGGCTGTCATACCGCCCTCAAAATTCAAAGATGATCAAAGAAATATTGAGTATTTACAACCCCACAGAAAACAGATACTTTATTTAGAGATATGAGAAGATCTAGATATATCAAGCGATATTAAATAATAAGGTTTAATCTCGATCTGCGTTCCTGTTTCCCTCCCCCGGTTACGGCTCGAATTTATTTGATGTACAGGGGCAAAGGACCTCTTAGTTTAATTAAATTTAACGAAGAAATTACTCAAGGTTTTAAATTATGACGAGGCGTCCGATAAACCCCGTAGATGAAAACTCCGTCTACCTGAGATAACCGTCGGGTCCGGGACGTTGTTCGGAAAAGTTGCGTAGGTGTCGGTGAACGAAAGGAACGAGAGGCAGCCGTTTAATCTCTGTCCTTTCATTCGTGTTAATCTCCCTTCCGCGTCGTGACCTTTCCGCCGCCAGTCAGTCACCGAAAACCGTCGGGGGGGCCGACGAAAACCGCGAAAATTGAAAATAATCTCGATTGTCGCGCATAAAAGGGACGAGGGGACGACCGCGAGTGCTCGACGAAGTTTCAGCTTCATTCAGACTGCTCAGTGAATTCGAAATTGACCCATTATCGTGCCGCTCCGTTGCGCAAAAGAGCGCGTCTGTCGCTGCTACGTCGTCGGCGTAATTCCATTTCTCATAGAGGGTCCAGCGGCCCGGAAAAAACTCGGATGTTTCGAAAAAAACGAACGCGTTACGGGATTTTTCGAGCCATCGAGATACCGCTCTTAATATCCATTAATCGGGGGGAAATGGATTCCCGAAATAGACGGTCGTAAATAAATATTTTTACAGAGGGAAAGTCAGTTTATCATCGTAGAACTGATGAACGAGGGGTCCGAATTCTGTAACGTCGATCTATCGTTATAAATTTAAAAAATCTGCCTTCTATTTACTCGATGCAGAGTATCTTTTCCACTGTCAATCGAATAATGCTTTTTCTCGTGGCAATTTGGAACACGGGAAGCATTACGAGATTGAAAACGAGGGCGCTTTATACGGTCCGGAGTCCCGTCTTTTAAGGGTTAAAATTTAAGAGCAACAAGGAACGGCGAACGTTGGAACTTCCGTCAACTCCGGGACGTAATTACGATTAATTATCGGGCCGCCAATGAGAGCGGGAAAGGAAAAGCACGCAGCCCGACGCTCACCAGGAGTAGTAAAATAGCAACGGGCGCGCGAAACTTGAACAATTGCGTTGTTAATGGAGGTTTCGCGACGTCATTCGCGAAAACTTCGCAAGACGCAGTCGATACCAAAGGACAGGGGGAGGCGTAAGAACGGGAACGAAAGGGGAGGGAAGAAAGGAAACCCGGTAAGAAAGGAACCTTTTAAACGCAATTAAATTAAACGACACCGGGTCGGACGGTTCTTATGTTGTAATCGTCCCTTTAATTGCGCTCGTAATTAACCGGCCCGTAATTGATTTACGCGAACGTGCGTATCGGGTACGAGCAACGGGCGCCATTTAAATCCACGATCGGGTAAAAATATGAAATTCATTCCGTTTAATCGAGCTGGCGCCGCGAAACCTCCGCCCGGACGGGTTAATGAAATTACATTGCTCCTTTACATTGTTACAATTACATTGTCAGTTCGCCTCGGCATAAATTCTCGCGAACCGCATACCTTTCGTCCTGCAATTGCGAGCCGTTTAATTATCGTTCGCGCAGAAATTTCTGCGAACGTAATTGAAAAAACCACCGGGACCGACGACGAAATGTTTATCATTCGCGCGTTCCGAACGAATTTCGAATATCTCGTCGCAGGGGGAATGTTACTTCGGGTAAATATTCATGGGAGGCGATAAATCGACTCGATCGCTGGCTCTGGAAAATTTTACGTTCGATGGTAGATCGTTTCCGAACGGAATCGCGAGCCTCGATCTTTCGACAGAGCACAGCCTCGATTGTTGATGGATTATTAAAGAAATTTTCAGTTTCCATTGTTTGCAATAATCGAGGTTTTACCGTGCAATATTTTCTTGTAAATTCGAATTCAGATATCAAAAAGAAATTGGATTGCAATATTGCCCCGCGAGTTTGTAGAATTTTCAAATCTGGTTAGAAATAGCTCGAGAAGTCAACGTATGTTGCAGTATTGCAATTTCAGAATATAATTTGCGGATTACAGTTCCATATAGATTTTTGAATCTCTTTTTAACCTCGTTCCGCGGACTGGCAAGCTTAATGAAAGGATCGAAATTCGTGTATCGCTGGCGCGATCATAACGCAAATTCGTAGTCAAAGAATTCCAATGAACCTATCAAGTTTTGTACTCTGACAAACGAGCTGTTCTTTCCGAAATATCTGTTCCCGTTGTTTTGTTGTTGATACAACAATTTTGTCATTACGATATCGTTCTAGATTTGTTAGCCATCCGGAGACCCAACCTTACCCGTGTCGAAGTTACTAGAGTTTTCTGCTTTCTGTTTTATTCGACTCAGGGCGTGGACTAATTAGCTGGTAATTAACTGGACTACACTCTCGTGGCCAGTCAAAAAGTCTCCGTGCGTCTTGTGCACGCTGCTCCGACGAGTTATAATTTTCATTAAGTCCTTTGCAAGGAAACCCCATTTTTATATGTTTCCTCGGGATCCTATTACCATCGAAATAAATATCTCGCTATTATTAGGGAATAAAATGTTGAAAACTGCGAGACGCGTCGAAATTCTTTGCAACTATCTTTTAACACGACGCTGATTCTCACTGAATTCGATACCTCGATAACTGCAAAGAGTTTCTCGCACTAAACGAGGCATTACTGGGAAAGGACGAAAGAAATTACGACTCGTGTCTCTCTTCTCACTTGTTCTCTCTTTTTCCCCACTCGCACGTACCTAAAATATATATTTTGCCTAAAGTAGATCTACACAGTCGTTTTACATTGAAAAATAACTATGCTTACAAGTAGCCTACGAGGAAGTATTGCACTTTATTTTTCTGCAGTTTCGCCTAACCGCGCCGAATCCGCGGATTCTTTGGAACGCGATATTTCACAAAAATATTCCCCTATTTTTCATTTACCGTTTTTTCGAGTAATATCACGATGCTGAACAGGTATCTTTTGATATCGTTGCTCTCCGACGCGACGAACTTTCACCGTTTCGTCCCGCGCGATCAACTTTTTGATTTCACGCCAATTTCTGGAAATAGCTGAAAGTGCAAACGGATTGTAAACGTGGTTAGCCGTGTAGGATTAAAGTAATTCGAAGCTGTGCGCAGAAATCAATGCGTTTATATACCTTCGGTCGCGAGGTTTCGACGATGGAAGTGCTGCCAACTACCTCGCGAAAACGAACATGTGTACCACCGCTGATAAAACTGGGATTTCTCCTAGAACGATCGACGAACGATACTGGCACGAACTCGAAACGTTCACAGAATTCTGCCACTCGAAGATCCGCCGTGTTCGAATCGTGCCAGTACTTTCATCGAAACGCGTTTGTTGTTAGCTCGCGACGAATAATTTTCATTGCTCCGAGCACGACGATCTTCTTCGTGCACACACCTTCTATAACGATTCGTGGGGACTCCGTGGATCATTGGTGGCTGAGAAGAATACTCAAGATTCGCAAAATTGTGCAATCAATGGGGAAATTACGCGTTTATAATTGAAGCTTCTAATTTTTAAATTATATTTCTGTGAGTCTTGTTGTCAGAATAGTTTTGACGATTACATTCGATCGATACGATACTGTCTACAGTGTCACAGAATTTCTAATGTCCATTAGAGCAAAGCGGATTGATGGGACGAGAAGCCTCGCGTTTTCTGCGCTGCTGCAAACAGAATCGTTTAAACCAATTCCTGTCGCGGAGAGTTCCCAGCCAGAATTGGGCGAATTTAGTTTTTCAGGGCCGGATAAAAATTTCAGATCCATTTCGAGGCCTGCTTCTGTCAGAATTCAAACGAACGAGCTGAAGTTTTTATTTCAACGTCGAGGGAAGATAATTCGTCTAAATTCGATCTCAGCCAACAATGGTGCACGTGATTTCGATAGTAAAACCGAGACTCCGCGTAGCTTTCAGCGAATTCGTAGCCACAGAACCGCACCAAATAATCGTCGACCATTTAAGCAAGAAACGGACACGCGATGTGGTTAGCATCACGAGTTTCAGTCTGCGTCGACACGCGCAAGCATAATCGAACTGAACGTCGCATACTCAACTGAACCTCCCAAGGGTTCTCTTGGACGAGACACTCGTCGATCGGCGACTTGTGCTTTTAAGTTCTTTTATTTTTTAAATTGAACGCCTAAATCACGAGTGGTCTCGCCTAAAAATTCCCCAAAATTCACCGATCCGTCTTCCTTATTTGTCTTCGTCGTCGATGGTAATCCAGGTTTTGTAAAAAGTGAGTCGAATTGGAGACGGTACGATCCATGGCGACGCACCTTTCGAGCGTCACCATGGATCGAACGCGGGCCAGTCGAAATTATATCAAAAGGAGAATTATCAAAAAGAGACCATTCGAATCGAGTCCTTCCGTCAGATTTTCTCTACACCTGAGAAGCACCGCTTCAGGTATATCGCGTAAGTCTCTAAAACGTCATATAATCTTTTTGTATATATAGGTGTGTATATCTCTGTATATATTTATCGTTCATGTGTACGTAAACGCAAAATACGACGGTTGTCTCGCCACGAGTCAACGTTTGTGGCTGATCGAACGAGTATTGTAAGACAAGGTGGCCATTTTGTGCTTCGAATTCTATGCTATATTTAAGACAGAATTAGGTGGACTGTGTAAATCATAGTAAACGTGATTATAATTCTTATTCGTTAGATATTAATTACAACCTTGATAAAACGCCACCGTTCGACCTCGTTAAAACGTAATCGTCCTCATATGATTTTTTTCTTTCTTACAACTGTGTACCTAATTATTGCAATTAAAGCAACTATGCATATGGTTATCTATAACCTTCTTCCACAGTTTTAATCTAATTCTTCACGGAATCTGAATGGCGTCGTATTTATTTTTCTGTGGGATCACCTTTCAATATTCGTTCGATAGATCGATTTAGTATATCGACCTTTCACAAATTCATCTGAATGTCTTGATCATTATTGACTGACTCGTGACGAGTTCCAACCGACTCATCCTGCGCACATATGTACGTATATATGTATGTATATACGTCTTTTCTAAATTCAATAACGAATATGTATATGTATATATATTTATGTATATATGTATATATCAGAACTTTGGTTTTGTCATCGGTCGACCAGTCGGATCAAAAATATTCGAAAGATACTCGACTCTACGGAGTACGCTTTCTAATGATAAACACTAACCCGTCCTAAAGTCCAGGCCGTCGGTCGGGTGCGGCCATTTTGTTGCTAGTTCAACGAAAAAATGTGCAACAAATACCTGCCGACGAGCTCTCGCGGCTCGTCGTCGATAAACTCTCTGAGATCCGCGATCATTCCGTTGCGCCGAACCCTGTACACCAGATTCAGATTTTTGCGCCGAAGGAGAGATACGTCGTTCCGGTTGCTATTTTTTATTTTTAGTTTTCTTATTTACTTTATAACAACGATCGGATAAATACTGTTTTTTTTCAAAAATATGTCAAAAAACGTCACACTCGGACATCCTAGTTAGTCTTTGACCTCGTACAGTGATCTGTTTCTCGATTTAGTTGGGAGCGACGGTACAGCCGTTGCTCTTTGGTGCAAGGATCATCGAAAAAGTTTGTGCTTGGACTTCCCTACGGCAGGCATATTGAAACAATTATTTCTATTCGAATGTAAATTAGTTTCTAAAGATTTCGATCTTCGAGTTTTCTCGTTACAGAAATTATCTAGATGAGAACTTTGAATAATACAAACTAGTCAGAGGATCGATCATCGTTTGAAATACTGAGCTAAAAATTAGCTGACTGAAATATTTTCAAAATTGAAAAGAGTTGAATTGTTAATTACATCACGGAGAATGAAATCTAATGGGGGCCATAAGATTTGACACGCCTGCCTTCTAATTATAATTCGCTATCGGTGCAGCTTGCTGGAGAGTGTTAAACGTAGACACGACTATTGAACATTCATCGATATATAATATATTACGAATAGAAAATTACGACAGTTGCAATGTGTAAGAAAGATGAAAGAGACCTTGTATTGCTTTTTACTACGTGGCGCAACGGAATCACTGCCGGATGCGACATTAACAAACGTTTAAATCTATAAACTATCCAACAGCGTTAAATAGATACACGTTCTCGTAACGAAGAGTTACGGTTTACAATCAGATCAGGTTCTTCTACGGATAATCAGCCCCCCCCGTACGCGGTAACGTCTAATTATTTGTGCGAGCCCTTGTCGTGGCACACGATGTGGACCAGCCTGAGGTTCTTCAATGTAAACAGATTGTCATAAATTTCGAGAATGTCCTCCTCCCGGGCTACTCCTTCCGCAGACAGTTGCAGGAGCTGTGGCACCAGGGTTCTGGACCTCTCGATTCTAAACACAATACAAACTCCAATTAAAATTTCACCCTCTAAGATCTTCAAAATAAACTTATATAATCACAGGCCAAGGGTTTTTAAATTTCTCATTTCAGAGATCCGCAGAATCCTTCGAGAGAAAATTCATAACTTCAAAAATTATTTAGTCTCTCCCTTGAATATTCTTACTTGTGATCGAAGTTCCACGTGGAGAACAGGATCAGATCCTCCCTCGATCTATAAGGGTTGATCTTGTGCCTCTGCCCGTAGGCGCAGACGTCCGCGTTCCAGACGCCGCCGCATCGAAACTCTCCCTTGCGGTCGCAGATAGCAACGCAGGACTCCCATTCTTTCGTCCGGATTCTGTAAGGACAACTGTCCTCGTCCTCCTGCTCCTCCCTCCCGTCGTCCAACTCCGTTCTAGAGGAAACTTTCGAGTTTCTCTCAGCAGGCTTCTTGCTGGCGCCGTCCACGCATGATTGCTCGCTCGTCCCGAACAGCCGGAAGTACGCGCTGTCGTCGAGTCGATCGAGCCTGCACGGGCAATGCTCGTAGCAAATAGACGAGTCCTGTTCGTCGAAGGCCTCCATCGAGCGAACCTTCGCCCTGCTCCTGTCGAAATAGTAACCGAAATAGTGGTCCTCCTTCAGCTGCAGCTTGAAGAACGCTATGGCGTAGAGCAGCTGCTTCCTGGCTTTGTGGTCGTTGGCGAACGTCTCCGACGATTTAATCTGATCGATCGTCTTGTAGAGATAGCCGCGTATCCTGTCCTGGCACCTGCGGTGCATGTACGCCTCCTGGGGAATTTTTGTTTCGTAAATAGTGTGTAGTAACTTATGAAATAAGGGTTTCTTGATATATTGTCGATTGAAAGCATTGGAAGCGTGTTTTCATGAAACTTATTGCATAAAAACTGAACTATCAAAGCTATTATGAGAAGTTATTGAAGAAAGAAGAAAGTCTCGACGATTTCTCATTTGTTAGCTGATGCAAGTAGCAGAGACTTGTTTGGGGAAACACAGGTATAAATACGGTACAGTTAATCGAAATAGGTCAATAGATTTCGTTTCGCGTGTAATTGGCATGCGATCAGCGCGGGACGCGGCTATTGTTTTGGGCAAATCGCCAATCGAATTGCCGTTTATTGTGTCGGTACAATACCGAGTGGTTCGATGATTCGCTAGTCCACCGGGCGATAATTCAAACCGATTTAGTTTCCTGTTTGTCCCCGCGTCGAACCGTCGGGACTAATAAAACAAAATCGAGGTTCGCGCGAGATCCTCGGATTCCAAAGGGAGAAGTAGGTGGAACGATGTTGATCGTAAAGAAGAAAGAAGGTCAAAGGCGGATATCAGTATGAAAGGGTAGGCGGGCGTATATTACCGGGGAAAGCTGGCTAGTTGATCCTGGCCTTAGACTCGAGGATATTCGGTATTAGGAAGGAAGATATATCGAGGAGAAGGTTAGGTGTGGAGCCTTGCGGGAAACAGGGATTTCCTGATGGTGATGAAAGGATTGTGGCGGTGATCGAAAGATATCCGTTATATTCACCGTGTCTTGCAGATTATATCCAGCATTATTCGCGCCGGAGAAATGATATTGCGTCGTAGAAACGATCTTACGGACCACGGGTTTAATGAAACCCCGTAGATGGATATTACGCGACGGTGCTCGTAGGCTATAAATAAAATATTAATCTACGTATTGAAAAGCTTTGAGAAGAAATGTTTCTCGATTCAGAGTCTAAAATTAAATCAAATATCCTTTATTTTAAAGAAATAAAAATCGTTCTAATATGATTTGGTCCGTTCTTGCGCAACGAGGATTTTCGAGGTGCACGCGACAAAAACGGAAACGCACGCGAACCCGAGACAGAGATAACGATCTTAATTAATTATTCCGTGGAACCGTTAGATCCGGGAGCCGAGATTCCGGAGCTGAAACTTGACGCGCGATAAATGGCAAGCTGGCGGAATTAAAGTGGAGGCGTTGTAACATTAATTAGCCCCGGCGATATTGGACGTTGCAGGGGCAAATTCTCTCCCGACAAATTGCATTATACTCTCGACCTTCAGTGCCTTATTATATCTAGAGTGATTCGCTATAGACGACGTACTCGGAGTTTCAGTCGGAAGAACCGAACTTCACTTTTACTTGCGATTATAAGTAATCTGTTTCATTTTGGTGCTCTTCTGTTTTGCTAATCTTCTACTAATGTGTCTTATAGAGGCTCATAGGGCTTGATCATTTATTATGCAATCGATTCGAGTGTTTAATGATTCGTGTATGAATGGTTGGCTGGATGAAGGTTTCTACGAAATTGTTCGAATAATGGAGCAGCGAAAGCAATTCCCAAATGGGGGAGGGAACTCACTTTGGTCGTGTAGTTGGTCTCCAATCCGTGGAACCACTCCGGATGCTCGTCCCTCGCGGTGAGCGTCGTCTTGGAGTCGTCGTTGTTCAGCACGTTATTCAGAACGGCGACCTTCGCCTTAAGGTTTTCCGTGAGGAACTCGGACGCCTTGTCGCCGGCAGTCAGGAAATCGATGTTCACGCGCCTCAAGGTGTCGTACAGGAGATCCGCGTCTGCAAGCAATCGTCACACTCTCTGAATTTCAGTATCTGGGTAAAAGTTTCTAGGATGCTCGATAATGTCTCGAACAATCGTCGAATTACTTCTCAAAGCTTATAGGGAAATATTAAATCCAGTCAAATTTACACTAACCGCTCAACACTTTTTCCCCAGGTTTCTGGACAATGAGCGTCGTCTGAGGTTCCAGCGTGTAAAAGTACTCCTCGTCGATCAGCGATCCATCGAGCAGGAAGACGTTGACTTCAGCGAGGTCATGTGTCACCTGAAAGCATGAAAAAGCTGGTCAGATCAGCTCGATCGTTTTAAACCCACATCCATTTTTAGTTACGAGTGGCTAACTATCATCAATTAGCGCAGTGTAATTTTTATTTGAATTAAAAAAATTTTTAATTATTAAAAAAATCTAGCATTCAAAGGGTTGATAAAATCTTTATTAAAATGCTCGAAAATGAAAGGAGAAAAAATTTGGAAGAACTGCACCCACTTTCAGTTCCTAGTGCCTAATGTGATTTTTATTTGGAGATTGCAACATATAAAAATATTCCAACTCCCTATTAAAAAATCTAGTATGCAAAGGGTTGGTAGAGTTTATATTTCTGAATATATTAATTAAAATTTGGAAGTGTGGGATCGTTCCGTGTGCTTGGATGGTTCTGTAACATGGCGTCCCACGCGCCCTCAACATATCGCGTCTCGCCACGCGCGCATAACTGCAATCAATTCCTTGGGATCGCGCTCGTGCGCCAGATAGGGCGCCACGGCGGCCGAGTAACGAATCGAAAGGGAGAAATCGAAAAATCTTGGCTCCTCTCGGGAGGGTTGGCCGCTGGTTTGGCTCTAGGTCCGGAAGACGGTCGACCTTGACATTGAGGGTGCTCCTTGCCCGTGGCCCGGCTGGTTCGATAGAGCTGTACGCTGCAGGCGACTACAATCTGGCCCCAAGGTCGCCCCGCAACCGGATTAACCTAGCCGCGAAACGTTTGCAACTAACGCCTCGCGTAAACCTTAATCCCCTCTCCGTGTCCGTGTCCGTCTTTTCTACTTGCTGGTAATTAGACCAACGGGCCGCTTCCGCCATCGCGATCGAGAGTACGGTAATCTACTTTGGAAATTGCGGTTATTCGAAACGTTCGTTTACTGGATCCACTCCGCGGAGATTCTTTGGAGGTCGCTGGAATCCCGGAAGTGGCGCGAGAAAATCGTCTCGAGACGGTAATTGCGCTCGAATACTATGAATAAACATGGAACGTTTTTGTGTTGCTATATTACTGTGTACCGTCGATCGTACTAATTAATTCTCGGGATGTTTGAATACCTACAAGGTACTTAACGGAGAAATGGAGCCATTTTTTTAGTCTTTTAAATGAGTATTGCAACGATGACGATGGCTGTTGAATGAAAAAGAGGCTGTAAGTGGCCTCAGGGATAAAAAATCTCGATGCGAGTCCCGGCAGGATTTATCCATTTGTTAAATAATCGTTCGTTGGGGAGTCTGGTTACCGAAATGGGTCGGTGCACCGCCATTCATATATCACAGCGACGTTCGGTGGAATTTCTTTCAATAATTCATCGGATTGGTCAAAAAATTGACAGAAGGGCGAGCTTTTATTAATCCCCCGTTAAAGGAGGTCTGGGAAATTGTCTGCTAATTTATAGAAATAAAATTAGAGGAATATTTTTCATTGTTTTCTGTTTGCTATCGATCGCTGAGGTGGGTCTCAGATGTTAGGATACATCCTGTATATTTCTGCGTCAAACTTGTTATTCTCCCACGCTCGAGGAAAAGTGTCTCTCGCGAAATTGGGTGGGCGTCAAATGTATTGCACGGCAGTTTGCAATAAAACTTTCGGATAGGTATAATTTTCACAGAACTTTGCGACACTTTCATATTATTCTCGTTGACCTGTCTTCGTTATTCTGGTCTCGTAAAAACCAAAGATTTCTGGTCGCTATTCGGAGTCGTCTAATGCAATTTTCATTTTGCAAAATGAACACGTCGCGCGACAAATCGGAGGAAACAAAGAGGATATGCACATATTTCACGCTCGCGGGTCGATGAATCGGACATGTATTACGTTATCGCCGAACCGCGTTCGTTTCCAACGAATCTTTCCAATATTTGTTCATTACTAACGTTTAATTGATTTACTTTCAGATTGGAAACGACTCGTGAAATTACATTTCGCTGGGAACAATCTTTCGTTGGGATTCCCGAACGTAACGCGACACGAAATCCATTTATTTCTATCTTGTGCATTGTGTTTACAATTGCATCGATTGCACCAATCATATTTCAATAATAATTGGAATTTTAGCTGGCATAAGTATAGTGAACTCTTCCTAATGTTAATTGAAAATTCCAATTACGTAGTTTTGCATTTACGAAAGACTAAATCGATTAAATAATATGAATTTTATTTATTTCTCCGCGTCAAATCCACGATTCGCTTAAGCCTTTGAACGTATCCGCGTGTCCGTCTATTTTATTTTTCATTTCGATTAATATTCGCTCGAAACCATCTCTCCCACGGTTCCAGGTGGATTACTTTGAGCAATCCGACATTTTATTTTTTACAATTTCCGCGTGGTTTTTCTCTTTCGACTCGATTTCCAACGGATTGTTTCCATTTTAAAAGCCAATATTCGATACTGCTTTAACTTTAATTCCCACCAGTGCGGTAAACGCACTCTTTCCACCGTTAAAAATAACCGCAACAGCAGAGGCATAGTAAATAAACTATTCCAGCAACTCATCTCAAAAACAGAGCCTTGGATTGCAAAATTCTAAAGACTTTTTCTCTAAGATTCTCTCGGAAACGTCTTCCGTGATCATCCAAAAATAAAAAGGTCGATTTGCACCGACGATTCGAACCCGAATAATTTAATTAACGAAGTTACGAAGTTTCCGTTTTCGATTTGGAGGGAAACAAAACGGTCGGTACGCGGAACAAGAGGGTCGTAAAACGCGGCTGGAGGGTGAATGGGGAAGGAGCAGAGGTCTTTACTAATTTTCGCGTACGCGATGAGTTTGGCCTGTTTCGGTGGATCGCCCGGAACGAAATCCCCGATACGGCGACAACGAAACGGCCGGGGCGTTACAATTCTCCTGGAGTCGCTCGCTATGGATCAGCTGCGAGGCATTTATGACCCAGTTTCTGCCGGTAACTTTTATTATAACATGTAAAAGCGACGTCGGGCCGCGATACGGTTTTCATCCCGACGTCGAACGAATCGCTAGGAAATACTTGGCCGCCGTTGGGGAACCGGACGGGGGGATCGATCGATTAAGCACACGCCGCGAGCGACGATCGATACATGCTCGATACTCACGTTCAGTTTCGCGCAGGCCTTCCGTTTCAGTTCCTGGAGGCTCCTGCAGGCGACGCCGAACTTTCGCGTGCGGTTCACGTCGGTGACCTTGTAACCCTTCAACTGGAAAACAATACAATTTATTGATAGAACAACGCCCACTGCTCCCCCTCGGCCATTAAATCGCGCAAATTTCCTTAACTCGTTGGTCGTTAGACTTTATTTTATGGCGAATTTTAATTCTCACGAAAATACAGAATGCACTATGCAAAAGTATAAGAAATACAAATCATTGTATTTTGGGGTTGAACCATCCCCCTACTTTGTGTCTGAGATTTCCTTTAGACGTTGATAATTAGACTTTATGGGGAATTTTAATTCTCAAAGAGCTACAGAATGAGTTGAGACAACCCTCTACAAAGCTCCCACTTTATTAATTCTATGAATTTGTATAAAGATTCGTAGTCTATTTATTACTATGGTTAGTTTCACGCTAGATTTTGAATGAAACCAGTTATATCGAGAAATATTGAAGCACATTGCGTGGATTAAATTCGATAAAAATTGCTCAAAAAACAATATTCATAATTTTTGTATTACCAACGCGAGCTTGAGAATGGAAAATGAGAGGTAATTGCAATTTATTTTGAACCTACAATCGTACCGAATTATTGAATAGTTGAAGTTCTGAGAAACTCTGCAGACTGTTTACAAAGGAGGATATCGAGAACCTGTAATGGAAGAAGCAGAGTTCCTGTCTCCGCCCACGCATCGGGTGTCAATTAATTGTAATTATCTATTATACAGTTCTGTGTGTGCTTTCCTTCTGTTTGTCTCGATATTCACGCGAGCACAGCTTCCATGTTTCACGCTAGTTTAACAACAATATCTTGAAAATTAAATTGACACCTTCTCGACACATTGGAACTATAGAAATCGTTAGTGAACGCTTTAAATTCGCGGAGAAATAAAATTCGTTATACTTAACAAATGCAACGAATTATTCCCCGTCGCGGCATTAGCGAAAAATAAATTTTGCATACCGTCGTCGTAGAATTTAACGCCCACGGATTACCATTTAATTAAACGTTCGCCGGAGAGAACATTTTGCCAATAGAATGGCACGTGGAACAGACAGTTTCATTAACGCAAAACTAACTGACTTTTATGCTGCATAAATGCTCGTATCGCGTTCGCGAAATTCTGTCCGGGGCTGCAACGTCGATTAAAAGTCTTCGTTTCCGCCGGAGTTCCGGTTACTTAAAGTTGAAGTTCTGTTTCTCGTGAAAGAACGCGTGGACCTCACCGAAAGAGCTGCAATTATTACAGAGTTTCTTACGATTTTAAATCTCTAAATTATTTCTGGAATCATTTAGTATCTCTTCTGGATCTGAGACTAACATTTAAGAAAAATAAAAGAAAAATGTTAGGGTACAATAATCGTGTAACTAATTATAATAAATATCGTACAGAAAGAAAGGAACTTGAAATAATAATCGAGTTTTCTAAAATATTTCTGGAATCATTTAGTATCACTTCTGGATCTAAGATTAATATTTAAGAAAAAATTATCCCAGAACTCTCGAATTTGTCGAATTAGAATAAATATCACACAGAAAGAAAGTAACTTGATTCAAGCAAGCTTCGTCGAAAGAATTTCGGAAAGATGGAGCGTCTGGTCGTTGAAGGGTTAACAGTCGTGCGTGAAAGTAAATATTAAAGGCCGTGAAAGGAAAGTTAGAGGTCAAGTACGAATTGAAGATGATCCGAGGAAAAGGGAATACGCTCGAATGGGAAGCTAGCTTAACGAAGTCGAGCAAATTCTCCGACGTCTCCCGTATGACTCGATAAGCGACGGCACGAATAGGATTGGAGGCAGATTAGCGGACGCATAATTGGCCCGATAATGTTCAAGGTCGTCTGAGCGAAAAGCCGCGTGTCACAGTTTCTCCGGGACTGACCCACATTACAATCGTCGACGTTTAATCGCGATCGCCTGGAAACGCAAAAACACCGGGGCTCGAAAATCGTCGAGTTTGTGCGCCCACGGTTGCACAAATTTCGCCGACCATGCACGCTTCTCACGTGACACTCGATCATACGAAGAAACCACGCGAAGCGGAAAGACATTAGGGTAGATTATAATGGCGAACAAAAAATCTCTGTCGAAAGAAGAACCTGGATAAGTTTCCTATCTCTCATTATTGATAAAAGAATTATAAAATTAAATTCATCAAACTCGAAATGATCGAGAATATCCGAATTGTGCGGTAATGTTGAATTAATGGTGTATATCACGTTTTGTCCCGATTAAAATAAATAGAGCAATGTTTATACCGTTGGCGGAAGCAATTAATATAAATGACGCCCGTAAACATTGCGACTGTTAAATTATAACAATCGAGTGCTCGTGGTATACAATTTTGTTTTAAACGTTTTCGCGATACATACTACTCGTAATAAGTCCACCTAGGCGTGCAATTAAAAACTGCTTTTTTTCTTTACTTTCAATACGAAATCTCATTGTAACCACTGCAACCAGGAAATCGTGGTCCTCGATTAAACCTTAATATCTTCATCGTGTAATACAACTGTGCAAAAAGACGTGGTACAGTTGAACGTTGTTTCAAACCAAAACTCAAAGTAACATACTCAAGTATACGTTATAAAATTGAACTTTTTGATCTCAAGATACTTTGTTATCGTTTATTAGATAGATTGGTCCCCGGTAAATTTCGATACAGATATGGATATTAATTATAAATCATTTCGAATTCCAAATTTGTGAGTTAAAAATGAAGTTTTCTTTGTGTACAGAGCAGAAGTTTATGTTCAACGATCGTAACGATATTTTGGCCGTCGAATATGCAGAATTATCGTTCGACTCGCTATCGGGAAAGATTCGTTCCGGTCGGAGCACGCGTTCCAGCAATATTTTCCGCGATGCCGGGCAAATTAATCTTATTTCCCCCGGCGACAAATTCTATTTGGTGTCGAACACCGATAATAGCGACTGCCATAAGCGAGCCAATAAAAAGGCAAACTTTATAGACTGTCGTCGGTCGAGCGTCTGCAATTAGCGATTTTAATGGAAGATACTCTCACTAAAATGTGTCTCGATATAGCTGCGATTAAATAAGACGAGATTGAATAAATTCTGACGAAGTATAGAGCAGTTCCGCGTAGCATAGATCGATCTAAACACGTTCTTAATGATCGGTACGTTCAATTTTCAAGAAAAGAGAAACGGAATATTTAATCTATGAATCATAAGCAGTGAGTGTATCCGTCGACTGTTATTCTGTTTCTAATTAACGCACAGTTATGATTCATCACCATGCACGTTCCTGTGACAATTTTAAACAGATCTCATTGCAAACAAAAGTATTACGAGATAATGTGCAAATCAATTGCGTTGTTCAAGGTTTGATAAACATGTTCGAGTAATTTTATCTGCGCCACGGCGTAAACAGCGTTGATAATTTTTGAAGGAAAAAGAATTATTCGACCAACGTGATTCAAACTCGGCGACCTCGAGCATACGAACTCCCGCTATCATCCGCGCCACGGCCATTTCAATGAAAGAAAGTGACAATGATTGATAGACATAGTACAGAATTCAGACTGCACAGTGCATAGAATCTACGTAAACTTCAGTATTTGTGTGTTTGATATCATGGATCTATTATTACTAATATTTTACGTATAATCAATTTGGAGTTTGTAAATTTTCCCTCGTTCGTACAGACGTAACAATGTTTTCGAAACATTTACGAGCCCCGTTTTACACAAACATAGTGACTTTCTACAACCCACCCCCATCGAAGCAGTCTGTCACGAGATCCTCTTGTTGGGTACACGTCGACAATGAGTTTTACTCCATTGTCGAGCCGCCTGTTGACTACAGAGCCGTGCTTAACAGATCTGGGTTAAGTTCACTTTTATCTTTTTGCCACGGTCGTTTTTACGGGGAAATAATCCCTCGCGAAATTTATTCGGCTCTGCACGTGACACCGCGCGATGTCCCTGTCTTTTCCAAGACTTTTGCCTATGTACACCTGAGGGGGAGAAGCTTGGACAAACACAAATATCACGGTCGCCGATAACGGGGAGGGGGACACGATATTTGAAAACACACTGTCCTTAGGGGACGAACTCGATTGAATTCTCAAACATTCCCGACCTACGGAGAAGCAAAATGCAATCGAGAGCTTCAAAAAATAAGGAAAAATGAAATAAGCACGGAGAATCACGGAAGAGTTGAATAAATGGCTTCTTTAATGTGGATGGAATTAAATTAAATATTATCTAGACCACAAATATTTTAATTTTTAACTATTCACCATTCAATAAAAATGCAATTCACAAGACCAAGTATGTCCTTCAAAAGAGTACCGATTTCCGGTTCGACCACCCATGTTTGTTAACGATAATCACTATACTCCACGGAGCGTGGTTCCGACGCGACAAAGCTAGCGAATGGAAAAGGAACGGTGGCCACGCGAGCGATTCTTTGTTTACCTCGGTTCTGGCCGGTGTCTCGGTCAGCCGTCGAAAGCAGCCGACGATCAGCGACATGATCAAGAGGCGGTGGGCCCGTGGGTCCTGGGTCGGGCCGTAGTGAGCGCGAGTGGGCCGAGGCGTAGGAGGAAGGCGGACGTCGCGTTAACAGCTGTGCCGGAGAACCAGCGGACCCCGACCTCTTCTTTCTTCGACCCTGACAGTGGGGACGCTTATCGGTCGGCGGACGGAAGGGGGACTGGACGCGTACGCCGGGAACAGACGTGAAGAGACCAACCGTGGACGGGCGGAGTGGGAGAGGCGGACACAGTGCAACGAGGCGAAGGAGAAACCAAGGCGGAAACCGAGAGCAGGAAGCACGACGGAGCAACTGTTGCAGCGGCGAGTGAACCGGATCCTGCTGGACGGGAGTCGCGAGCGCGCCTGCACCGACGGAACTTAGGGAGAAAGGGACGAGAAAGGGCGCGCGGGCAGAAGTAAAGAGCGGCACTACAGTCGCCGGATCGCGGGGAAGGAATGACGCGACGAGACGAGCCTCGTACCGGAGAATGCACCGGGAAATGCGCCTGCGAGCCGCCAGCCAATCCTCCCACGATCCTCCGCCTAGATGGCGCCACCGAACGGTCTCACTGCCGCATTAACGTCCCACGGACACCCTGCGCCCGTCGTTCGACCAGCCTCGCCTTTCCACGTTTTACCCTTTTTCCTCGTTCGCCCACGGTTCGCGAAATTACGCAGGCACGATTCACCCGCTCGACGATCCTATCGGAATTTTTATCCCGGATTCACGGCACGAGTTCGCCTGGCCGTGATTTATGGGCGATAAACTCGTCGGGATTAGCGATTACGTCCGCGCTGCGTTAGCTAATGGTCGAGTTTCTATCACTATTTTGAATCTTTGGTTCAGTCTACATCGAATCTACATCGTTAGGTTTCAGTTTTCGAAATAAGTATAGGAGTCTCGAGAATGCATAGACATCTGACAATAGATACAGAATTTACATGGCATTTAGGGTAAACATACGAATAAGTCTTGAATTATTTAATATTGACCCTTTGTACTCGACTGTCCTTTGAAGGGACATCCAGTAAAGAATTTAAATGTACACTCTTCTTGTATCAAAGTGATACACAAGCGGGGAATGTAAACAAAATGTTTACTTGAATATTTACTATCTATTTCGTAGGAAAGTGTGTTTGCAAAGGATTAATATCTGGTTAGTCCTCCTTTGACATCGATACAGTGTTCCAGCCAACTTTCCATACTCTATACAAGTTTCTCTGTTGTTGTTTTTTCAATGCCATATCGTTTAGCTTCTGATTTATTTCGTGTGCGTCTCTTTTGCATGCGAAAGAAATAAAATTGGTTTTACCCTCTTTAAGAAGAAGGTGGTGGGCAGTGGCCCTGATTACTGGAGCAGAGGCCACGTAGCTGGATTTGGAGCTGCCTGTGTCGGAAGATCCTTTCCTGGTCCTGTCGAAGCCTTCTGACGAGTCCTTTCCTGTCCTTAAACGGTGATGTTTATACCAAGACGGATCCGTAGCGAAAGAGAGCCGGTCAACGCGAGGTTTCGCTAGGCCGGTCGCGCCCCACCACCAAACCACGCGTATTGGGCAAAGGCGAGTTTATACGCGCACGTTACACGTTATTTTGTTCTTTAACATTCCCTTGGACCTCACGTCATCATTTCTGAGTTTTCTGAAAATTTCAGCCCCATAGATGTCTTACGGGATTTATGTCAGGACTCTGTACGGGGAGTTTATAGCGTGTACGATCTTATTTTGGCCTCTAGAATCTCCCATTAATATTTTGTCCAAAGTTGATCGAACACCCTGTATACGATTCCTTTAGAATTCCAGCTGCATGCTTAGGATCGTTGTCCTGTTGAAATAGAAATTATCCAGTTGTTTTAGAAAATTCAGATATTTAGAATTAAAGATATAATTTGAGATATAAAACATCGATGAATGCTTCGAATTTGAAACGAAACACTACTGTTTTGGTCTTGTATACCTTCCTCAATTGTTAGACTCTTGTGGTATCGTAGCCTAACGGAATAACCTTCGATGTTGCAGGATATGTAAGTAAACAACATTCCAGCGCGCCGTAAAGACGACATTTATCACAGTATTCTTGTACCAGTCCGTGGCAAGATGACGGAGAATTCTTACTTACTAAAATTCATGCAAACTTTTATAACGCTTTTTGCAATACGGAAGAAAGGAAACCCCGGAATTTTCACACGCTACGATAAGTTGAAAGCGAGGCAAGAATATTCATCGAATTGAAATTGTGTATTTATTGCTGGGCGATTAAAAACTAATTCGACTTTCGAATCAATTGTAATCCCGTTTGACCCAGATCGTTGCAATTAAATTATTTGAATTCTTTTCGTCGCTCCGAGCGTGTGAAAACGTAACATTAATACATCGAATGAAAATCAGTGTTTATTTAAATTTTATTCAAAATATTTCACGAACGATTTTTACCCAATATTTATTGCAGACCTTTCCCAGCAATTATTCCATATTATCCCTTTCCTTTGTGTCGAAAGATACTAATAACAAGTGACTGTTTACGTAAATGATATATCGGAATAATGATAAAGTTTAGGTGGTATGTTAAAAACGAGGGTAAATACGAGAGCATCTATTTCTTCCTTAATTAAATTCGCTGTACACTTGCTCCGTACACCCCGTCGCTGAAAGCTCTCGCTAAACGCTCTAAACTGTAGCTGAAAGCTCAGGTCGCTTTATTGTCTGCAGCTTTGCTCCGTACTGCTCCCCCGCGGCATCCTGACCGCCCTTAGGAACACTCGACTTAACCACCCACGCGCGGAAACGCACACACTCGCGGACGTCGTTCAACCACCCTGGTACGCCGATGGATTCCTTCAATCTCTATTTCTGAATACTCTAATCAGATCTTCCCCCGTCTACGCGAACTGTATTTCCTCATCGACGTTCCACTTCCCAGTTTCGTCGCGGAATTTATCGTGGTAAACAATCAGCGAGAGTGGAGAACTTAAAAAATTCAAAATTTGAAATATTTAAATATCCCACCCTTAGAAATAAAAATAATAGATCTCTATATGGTCAAGAGAAGGAGTGGATACAAGTACAGATTCGTAGTAATAAACGAGAACCTAAGCAAAATAGGTCCAAGTATAGAAACCTTTGCATATTATTTTACAGTCCATTAAAAAGCTGTGTTTTTAAAGATTTATTCTATCGCGGAGGTCTGATAGCTTCATTGGATGTCGAGAGCTTTTCGTTATTCGCGAATTAGGTTAACAACAGAGATCAAAACATTCTCGTTCGAGTGCGTTTCGACAAAATGGAGCGCGATTTCACGTGGCTCTAGTCCTCCGGCATCGCATTTGGTCCTGAGCTTACCAGCTGCCTCGACACAATGTATTATTCGCGTACTAATAATATAATTATTTATTCTATAACGTCGATACGTTCGTAACATTTAGCCGACTCATATTTTATTCGTGGATCCGCAATTATCCAATACGCTCAATAATTGCGTGCGTGTTTAATTAAACGTTTCCCAAGAACGAGTATTTCTAATTTAATAATTTACGGAATATTAATCGTGGCCGTTTATTCTGACAGTTCTGTATTAGCGTTTCGTCAAACTCTTGGCGTAATTAAATTTATTGCCAATGCAATTTCCCGAATGTTGTTCGCAGATTAAAGTAATTTTTAATTCTGTAAATAAAATTCGCGTGTACCGGTATTTGTAATTTAATATTTTACACTCGGAAATTTAAGGTCCGTTCGTTCTGATCGTCCCACATAGATAGAATAGATAACTGTAAAATGGAGGTTGTTTCGTGTAGCTACATCAGTAGATAAGGAACATAATCGACGTCTACCAGACAAAAGAACCTTTCAAAGGATACACGGACGCCTCTCGAGCACAAGTTCGTGCAAGAAACGAGTGCCCATTGGCGGCGGACTAATCAAAAATATACTCTGTACGAAGGAATTTAGGGGAAGTTAGTTAGGGGAAAGAAAGCAGAGATCGAAAATAAATTAAAATCCGTAATTTTCGAAACTTTTATCCGGAACAATGCTGTAAAGGAGTAGCGACAACGGGGAATGGAGTTTTTCGAGACCAACTTCGCTATCGTTACCATATTCAGAGAGTGCAGGCACTCAACGAAAATTACTTTCCTTCGAGAGTTAACTTTTGTACTTGCAGCAAATGTCTATCGACGACCAACATTCTTTGCCCGTTGTACAATTTGCCAACGAAGCTGGAATTCGCCAAAAATGGCATAGTCAATTGTCGCGGCGACGTAGAAAATGCTATTCTTCGGCGAAATTACCGCTATTCGATGCAAATGCATAGGCACGAGGTGATCTAATCGAACTATTGGAAAAAGTTAATTTACAATGTGTAGCCATTAGTTGTCTATAATATAATACTATATTAATAAAGAACGATGAACCTTAAGCAGGATATAAAAAAAATGTAAACATTCAAACCGGAGTCGAAGATTTACCATTTTGCAGTCTGAGTTTTTGAACTATGTATAAGCAGTTAAAATTTTTTGCATGTATTAAAGCGCGACCAGCTGACTGGAATACAAATGACGCCAGGAGTGACATCAGTAAACCACAGCTGCTCATATCGCGATGACAAAGCCTCAGATTGCGAAATAAACAGGATTTTTTGACTTCCTTTTCTCAAGCGTACAAGCAAACAAACTACTACGTGAGAAGACGCTGAAAATTATTACGATTTTCATCGATGCCCCCCACAGTATTTATTTTAATATCGAATCCTCGTGTCGTCGAACGTAATTATCACCTGCATCGAGCCGAATGGAGCAATCACGTTCGTTGCAGAACAGAATTTGATCGATTCGACATCGAGCGTCCTCGCCTTCGATTTAACGGTCGGATCGCCGCCTCGCTTTATACATTTTAACCTTGTTGCTTTTGAAGGCTACGATGTCTATTATTGAGCTTGCGTTGCGAATGCTATCTAGGGCGCACAATGTACCGATTCATGCAGAAAAATTATACGATACCACCCTAGTCGATCGCAGATTGCATCAAGGTCTCGTTCAACGTCGAGCCCCCCCGCGTTCCACGCCTCGGTTTGTTCGAACCCCATCGAGATACGTTTAGGAACGTCAGCCTCCATTTTATAAGCGTCGACACTATTGTCGAACGAATTTTCGGAATCCATCGCGCGCATAAAAATATAATAATGCAAATAAATTCGATTCAAATCGGAAGGTCGAGTACCTTGAACGATAAAGTCAGGGCTGACTGTTAAAGATTGAAGTGCAACTTATTGTGACGTATCATGGTAATCGCGATAACAGTGTTATACTATCTAAATGATATATGCACGAAGGTTAACGATAAATAAAAATTTTCCACGGTACCGATTGTTCGAAGGCAAATCGATGTCCGTGGACTTTTTCGTAATTAGTCTTCTCGGATCTCATTGACTTTTAAACTGAATTTGCGGTTCCAGGGGATAATTTATTTTTTTTACCATTATTTCTCGAACGCTCGCGAATATTGTTTCCCACGTTGGTCGGCGAGCGTCCTTTGTATCGAAAAAAAAAATTTCGCCGCGAGACGTAAACCTGTTATTTATGATCGAAACATAGGGGGACGGATTGAATCCAACGGGTGTACGTTGCATTAACGGATATTTATTTATACTGTTCTTTTTTGGATCCCTAAAAATTGAAAATTAGCAATGATTTTTGGGGGGAAAAGTACATGGTAATTATTTAATATTCAAATAAAATTTTATTCATTTCTGAACACAGCAAGAATGGAACGCTATTTCCTAACGTTTCCAAGTTGTCATATAACTTGCCTGTCAAAAGAAGGCAAATCAAATTTTGCAGCTCCCTTTATGACCCCCTTTATGGATTTGCCAGAAGAATTGCATGACCTTAAAATCACGTTTACCTCGACTCTTTCCTCTGCAAAACGTCTCCAGTATAAAAGAATGCTGCGTCTAGAGCCTTAAGTTTTATTAATCGACAGTCTGCTGACATTAAAAGACCTTCGAAACTTTACACGCCATTTTGAGTATGCATTTGATTTTTATATCAAATGCATACTCAATTAATAAAAATTATATAAAATTTTTATTGAACGAGTAACCAGCAAACTCTTTAAAAAGTTTGAATAGTTAAATCTTGGTTCTATTCCGGGCCATTCGCTGCAACTTTCCGGTGCATACGTGTTGGTCGACTAGTTATTACGAAATCACATACCATTTATAAACATTTTCCTTTCATTTTTCTTTTCAGAAGTATGTTAACCCATTTTTTTAACAATTTATGCGGTGGCAATGCAAGCTAGAAAGTTTTATCATTATCACAGTATCTTCGTAGGAGTATTATCGATGGTTTGGCGAAGTTTTCACTATGAAATTAAACGCGAATGAGATTTTATCCGAACGAAATCCTGTTTAGATTCGTTTTCATCGCGGGGAACCCGCGAATCGATTAATGTCGGTCTCATAAACATATAAGGAAAAATGTAAATAATTTTATATCGTTCTAGCTCGCTCGCTGTTAGTATACCCCCCTAACTTTCCGTCTGTACCATTCACTTTGGTCGTTCGCGCGTAGCTGGGTCACCGCACGAAATAGAATTCAATTACAGCCCTCTGTTTGTCATCTGGCAGATCCGATTGTTCGCCATTAAACGAAGGAATACTGTACTATATTTGTTGATTCTTTTTGCGTCGAAGTTGGTTCAATTTTTTATAATATTCTCACTTTTAATAGTATGCTCTAACACGAAGCAAGCAGCTAAAGTTATGCATTTAGGTACAGTCGTTACTCGTGACTCATTGGGATTGTATTCATAAACAAGTAAATTCTATGTAATTTGTTGACTTATTTTTTCCCATTTGCTCGTATCGCGATCTCTAATCACCGATAACAAGGCTGAAGGAATTTTCGCGATATTGCAATCCTTAATTACAATATTCTGATCACTGCTAATGCTCGTTCGTAAGCAGTTATCGCCGCGGATATAGTTCACCTCATCGTTGATACAATTATTATTACGTGGTTATCTTATATATTTAAAAATAAACAGAAGTGTTAGAAATATTAATAATTTGTAGAATTATTACGGGACTGCCAACTTTCGAGGTTTCGATGTCCTATTTTTAGGACGTGGCTAGGAACAGGAACCGCGAAAAAAGGAAAAGTTCTCGAAAGTTTCGAATGCACCCTTGAAACGGATATGTTGTGGACCCGAACGAGACTTCGAGGAAGGCTTCTTTCGGCCAATGAAATATCGTGTATGCAAATCGGCTGCGAAAATCTTTTTTTAAATGTAACAAAACTTCGACGTCAGGATCGTGATTTATTCTTAGTCAATGCGGATGTATCTTTGTCCTTGATCACTGTTAGTCCTCTCCTTTTTTAAATACAGCATAATATTTTGTATTCGATCCCCCATTAACCGAACACCAACTATTCTGAAATATCTCTCCCGCTATTCAAACATTTTGTCTATAGCAGTTAATACTAATTTTGATCTCTGTGAGGCTGACCGCAGAAACAAGACCGTAGTCCGTTTTCTTTTATATTGATTCTGGTTTAAGAAAAAAACTAAAAAGAATCGATGTAATCTAGGACAATCTGCTCTGCAATACAATGTGTTTACTATTCAAGTGCCCTAGATCACTATCTCGCAAGCATTAGAACTAAACACATATCTACTTATAATTACAGGTTGCATGTACAGTATGAGTAACGGAAGAATGTAGAACCGAGTAGAAGGAAAAAAATGAAATTTTATCGAAGGTTTCAAACGTGGCGAAAGAGCCGGCGGTTTACAATAATTTCCACGGTGCCCAGAATATAAACAAGACGTGTAAAAACTGTTGGTGGCCGTTCTTGGACGATATAAAATCCGGAAAGCAGCTCGTTCGGGAAGGCCACGAGCTGCACTTACGCCGCGAAAACGTATGTAATCGGGAATACGCGGCTTCACGTAATTGTATAATTAAATGGACAGCCTACGGGGACATAACGGAACCACGGTTTCAAGTACGCGTATCACAATTGTCGTACATGCATTTTTCAAAGTGTAAAGTACATAACAAGGTTATTTTTACAAGAGGTAATAATATAGAATTTAGAGACACTAAAATACTTGTACTATAGAAAAATAAAATATTCCACATCGTTGAAATTCGTTGATAGGCTCGTTGTTGTTAATAACTGCCTATAATTTACGTTTTGTGATTGGAAACGCGCGTGGGAGTGGTAGGACCGTCGAAATTCTGACGTTTCGTGTCCCAAAGAAATGTCGCCCCCTTATTGGACGCCCACCGCGATACCAATTACTATGTTCGATGTCAACGGATTACCTTGAGTTCGATTCCTCTGCGAGGCATCGTCTGGACTGGCAACTCATTGTTAACGGCCGCGAACCACGCAATTAGAGAGATCATTAGTGTAAACAGCGACAGTCGCGACGATGGACGATGCTGATTCCGAGTTCGACGATCGAACGTACTACCTGTTCGAGCGAATTATCGATCGAACTTTATTGGGCGATATTAGAATGACTATTCGATGAAAATTTTCCTTTGTTTACCTTTTCTTTAAGGTATCATTTTTACGATCGAATGAAAAGCATCGTGGCTCGATGTCACGATCAGTGATATTAGCGATGCTAATGAGCCGTACAGTGCTTTTAAATTATGTGGATTTTTTAAATCGCAAGAACATCCACCGGATAGAGGCAAGCAATCTGTTTGCTTGGTTTTGCGTTGGTAATATTAATGACGAGCTGAAATAAGACAAACGATCCGCGCAGTTCATTCTTAGGTTACAGACGCTTATTGATGGTAAAGAGTCATTATCGAGCACGTAAGATTTCATCATTATTTGACCATTAAGTACCTCATTACGTTGCAGAGAAGTATTAAAGTTGAATTTGTTATATTCACGTCGGGACAGGAACTCTGAGAAGACAAATAATGCAGGAAAGATAATATTGTCTAAGAATACTTAAACACGCATGCATCCAAAGACTTAAACTTTGACTCAAATGTCAGCTGTTTTCCTCGATATTAATTTCTCCTATTTATCGTAACACGTTTAAGACACGCACAAGGTCATAATTGCCCGAATAATTTCGTGATCGACCGTGTGTGCTTGATCACAGCTTCTATAGATCTGTTAGATAAAAGAAATCTGTGATTCGAAGATAAAATCTGTGATGCAACTCGTGTTAGAATTTTCTCCAGAATCTTGGGAAAGGTTTTTACGAACTGGTCCGCAGATATTCATGAGCGATTTATTATGGAATTTAATTATGGTTACTATCTTATAGAGATGTCTGGGGGCCAGCCATCGGCTCGAATGTAGTGCTGTTACGTGTTCGCTCGAGACTTTTGCATATCGAATCCATTATCTCGCTTGTACCCTCCCGAATGTTTGCGTCCTTCGCCCATATCCATCCCAAACCTTCGATCATGCTCCAACGATTTCACTAGAAAGATCCGTTTGCTCGATGACCGATTCGTTTGACCGTTCGATTCAAAGGTTTCGGATGCGTCAAAGTCCAGTACGTTTCATCAGAAGCACCTTTTGTGGAATTTATCACGATTTATCTTAACCTCGTTATTTTATTTCAAATGGAAATTAGGCACTCGTCGAGTCGAAAGCTTGGAAATGACCGGAGTGCTTAAGCAAATAAAATTTGAAGCTTATATTTTTCATCTGTGGGCTTTAATCTTCGTTTCGACACGCTTATATTCTAATTCTCAAACTTATCAGTAATTTAGGAGATTTAAAAGAAAGGTACGTGATTATTTTAATAGTGTTTATGGCCTGTGACGCGAATAGAATGCTCTCGACCGGATGTACGTTGAGTGTCGTTTCTGTTGAACTTGCGACAAACACGTCCAGATTGAATTGGCAATAGCTCGTCGTTTATAATTGCACTCATTTCCGGCGATAACGACTCTCTTCTTTGTTGCGTGTATTGTTTACGGAGTCTCGCGCTCTAATTAGACGGGAGGAAGCTACGCAACGTGCATTTGCAATTTCAACGATTGCTAGACGCGTGTCATCGTTGCGTAATCATCGTTTTGCACAGGGATCAATGTTCGTTTACGACTTTCAGCAATCATCGACGAGATATCGCGAAACAAAGAGACAGAACCTGTTCCTTCTTCTCTTGGATGTTGCAAAGCTGTCCATTTTCTTTCCGAAACAACAAACAAACCCTAATTAAAAACTTCTCTGGTCCGCCGAGAACAGAAGAAAAGCTAACATTATATTTCAGACTTGACTCTTTTGTAATATAAAAGTATTGATCTTGGATTCTAGCAATTTTTCTTGCGAAGTAACAAACTCGGAATTCTATAATTTATCATCCACGCGTGTCTCAATTTTAATTGATGGTTTTTAAATATAGGCAGTAACGTTGCAAATAAATTTCTCGAAAAATTCGATATTTTAAATCGCCAACAGCATCTTGTTCCACGTTTGTGGTCATCGACGATAATTCCGGAGCAGTGGACTCGTGTCTGTTTTTTTATAAAAGTAATTTTTATGGGTGAGGGAAAGCCCGCTCGCGTGCGTTCCGTTTCACACGCGAGCGTGCATCATCGACGCCGATAAACGACTTTCCAATAGACGAAAATATTCTGCTTATAATTATTCCCGGCCTTCCCACGAGTCATTCGATCTTGAAACTGATTAAGTTTACTCCTAGCCGCCATACGAATAGGAAAATACGTTCCTGTCGATTTCGTCACAATTTCCAGCATCGAGGACAACATTTCTACAGACTCCCTTTCTTCGAAACGATTATACTTTTACCGAAATTCTTAGAATTGTTTCAGCCTTGAGGGGGCCTGCGGAGAATTTTTGATTTATTAATTTTCAATTTTACACATTCCTTAACGCCGTTTACAGGCCCCGCTATGAGTATAAAATATATTTGACAGATCGATTGGATATTTTTAATATCGGAGAATAAATATAGTTTTCGATAAAACGCTAGGTAAATCGTTTCACGTTTACCATCGAGTAGCTGGAAAAGTATAAACGTAAAAAGTATAATTATGAATATAAAATATATTTTACAGGTCGATTGAATATTTTTAATATTGGAGAATAAATATAGTTTTCGATAAAACGCTAGGTAAATCGTTTCACGTTTACCACCGAGCAGCTGGAAAAGTATAAACAAATATTTACGGTTGAATCACGCCGAGGATACTTTCGGTGATGTCAATACAAACTAATCGATGTTATGGTCTCTTATAAATGAGATAATGGGGAACTAGTCGAATGCATTATGCAAACATCTTTTGGACCAGGGAATTTCAAATTTCAAAGTCTGCGAGAACAACATTTTCTATACTGTGATCTCGCGAAGCGTTAAAATTACTAGAATCGAGTAGGTTGAAATTACTAGAAACCGATCTCGTTGCACGACAATATGATCACACATTGGGCAAGAAGATTAAGAAAACTTACGAAATTAGATGAAATTTCATTCCAGCTGGGACACCGCTCTGCTCGTTCGACAATGATATTTGTAAAATTGGCGACCTATAAACAATATTTCGATATAGGTACAAAGTTCTCCAAAGATTTTAATCATCGAAGAGCCATATGCATCGTTTTAACAATTTTAATCGCGAGTTAAAAATAGTATCAATTCTCTTGCTCGAGAAAAGAAACAGTCGATTGTTGCTTAAGGGAAAAGGTTGGGTCAATGGTCAGTTGGATTATAGTGAACGGAAGGTGCTCGATGCTACCAGCGCGTTTCATCATCGAGTTTCTCGTCGCTGTCGATTAAACGAGTGTCGATACGTTCGACTCAAATGACACGACGCAACGATGCAGAATTTTTACCGAAATCGACAGCCAAGCGTTGCTCGTCTGATCAGTGACGGGTCCAATCCAGACTTGCACTTCGTCAAACGAGACGAGACAGTAAACAAAAGCAAACGTCGATATTAAAACAGTCGATGAACAAAGACTACGAACTATCTGCTGTTTGACAAAGTATGAATGCAAACCATCTCAAATAATAAAGTTTCTCAACACCACCATAATACAATACATCTACAAATACACTAAAATATCAGCACGTAAAGGCCAATCATTTATAAAATTTTAGTGAAATTAATTTAGTGTACTTACTCGGTATTAATACGTCGCCCTTGCAACTCTCTCAGGCATACTATGATTTAGATCAATTGTCTGCAGTTGTATCTTGTAACATTTTCGACATTTTTGCCAGATTATTTGAAAGAGTCTCTCGTCTAATGTCTAGACACAGTAAGAACGACAGAAGCAATGATAACAAGAAAATTACGAAGAAGAAAATTAGAAAGGCTATTAGAATGACGATTACCGAGTGCTGTTCACTCGAAGACTGAGGCGGATATAAACTGACGATGAAAATTGTGCGTATGATCATTGTTTATTCATTCTATATAGGAAGTGAAATTCATTGTTTCGATGCATAGATATCGATAGATAATCATCAGTGTGAATGATAAGGGGTTAATCGAAACAGTCATGCGATCGCATCCACTTGTTATTCAAAGGCGTTGATTGCACGCAATAATTCTAAGGTTTACGGTAATTAACATATTTTAATTAAGGTTGACGAGTCGACCTTACGTGAATTTCTTGAACAATCGAGAAATGGCGAGAAAAGTTTATACAACCACGTGCCGTATTTCATTATTTTTGCATTCCGGTAATTTTTAATCGCCGACGAATAATTGATCTCGCGATACTTTTTGCATACAATGTAGGTTATTTATTTTTCATTGTGGAAAATTAAAAAATCGTTTTCACATCGATTCTTAAGATTGGAAGTCTTTATTCATGACTGCATATTACAGCAGAATAATCGAACAGTCGTCGAAATTATTTCACTACCGTTTTAGTCTGCTACCGTAGTTGTTATTACATATTATAAAATATTGTGCATATTGAAATGGGTCGTTTGTTTTTCATGGCTCGAAAACATTTAAAATAAAATTCAAGCGTAACCTAATCCTATGCAATTATGTTTTTTATTAGCATCTTTGCCGAGCAGTTAATAGCCATTAAGAAAAGTGGAACAAGATAAAGGCTCTAGCGCCACGTTTAACTGCGATATAAGTTAGACACTATGAAGTAATTGCGTTCGATAAAATCACTTTTAATTGCCAAGATAAACAGTCGCGAAACTGAGCTTGAACTTGATAGACGAAGGGGCAATAAAACACTTTCCTCGTGCATGGTTGTTGAACGTTAATCGATTATTAAGCGATTTTTATATTTAGCTCGTGTTTACTCCGCGGATGATACACAGGAAGCTGTGCACTCTTCTCTCGTCTATTGATGTTTGCTTATTGTAAAATCTCGGAATAATGAATTAATTTGACGTAATTTTCAATTTAAAAAAATTATTTCCACAGAACGACACGTTCTAGGATTTCTTTATTATGTTGAGACATTAAATCTGTCACGAGGTCACGATGCATATATGGCATTTGGTAGAATGACACTGAAAACGTCATATTCTACAAATTAGGTATCATCAATGTCGTTTCACCAATTAGGAGATTTTACTCTCTAGAACAAATTATAAACTATTACTCTAGTCCAGTAAAAATTTCTTCGCAATCGTCACTGCACCCCCCTCCCCGTACAATTTAACCTAACTCAACTTGTCCTTGGCTCGAACGAAATTATCGTGTTTCGAGGCCCCGCCTACGTATCCCATAAATATTTAACTTTAGTTATACAGTCGAATATATTGTGTCGAATATTAGTTCGCCATTGTTCCGATTCTATGGGTAGAAATTAGCCACAGGCTCGTAAAACGTATCAACTGCATAATCGTCTGAAAATAAACTTTCTGTTTTCAATATCGAAGTGTCATACAATGTAATAATTAGAAAGTACCAGCCGTGTGTCAGTGAGTGACACTTCAAGTTGTACATCAACGAAACTACCACCCTCGAAGTCAAATATTTACCGAACACTCCTTTTATTCATAGAATCATAATTTCTAATTAAAGTAATTTACAAGTGATGCGTTGGAATGTATTGTAATATATTCTATGTGTTAATTCTCGTGCGGCGATTATGTTGGCTGTCATTTAGGAGACACCGGTACTGGATCAATGGCGTAGAACAGCATAACCTTCGAACGACTATGAATAACAAAATTTATGTTGACGAGATGTAACGTCCCGGACCGCGTAGGATTTCGTAAGATCGTTTTAATCATGACAAATCATGACAAATTCTATACGATTCTTTCCTATCTAATTTCTGCGCGTCTATGGATATAATCATCAAAACCAACATTGCAAAATTAATTCAGCATTAAGGTTATTCCCACTGTTGATTAATTCAATAGGAAACAGCAATAAAATAACTCTGCGTCTGGGTGTTTTTTCTTACTCGTATTTGTAGTTCACACTTGATACGACTGACATAAATTTCAAAATCAATAGAATCGTGGCAAAAACAGTGTCCATACATAACTCATTACACTATTTTCCGCTTAGATAATTAAAATCGATTAGGACTGCAACTGGATCAAAGACATCGTTCGAACAACCCTAAATTTTCAAGCAAGATTATAGACATTCGTCGGACAAGCAAGCTTATAAATCATAATAACAATTCGAATGTGTTTAACTCCATATAAAAGGCGCGTGCAATACCAGCAATTATTCATAATGGCAGCGTAATTGGAATTTAGACGTACAAGCGTTTCTTAAGTTAATAACTTCCATACTGAAAGGTTGCAAGGTATCTGTCAGTTCGTTAAAAAATAATAAATGTACAGCTCGTAGGTTTATTGAAAACTTGTTCGAAGATTAGTCGTTGTACTATGTGTTGTTTTTTTTTTTTTCTTTTATTACTACGTATGTATATAAAATTGCGCTTATTATGTATTTAGAAAGTACTACCGCACGGTTATTTTATTACCTTGAATAACTTTACTTGTCTGACAACATACATCGCCGGTAGCTGGTCATTAGAAACATTGCAACTGTATTCCAGCAGAGTCGGATAACGAGAGAAAAAAACCGTCACATCTTTCTTTCGCTAATCGCTCGCGTTCATTAATAACCAACACTCGTAACGAATCTTGTAACGTCCAAGAACAAACATTAATAAATTTTTTATCGTCCCGGGGAGGCATAATGCTTCTCTCAACGGAGTCGTTTGAATAATTACGAGAGACACTGTAAACGAACCTGCGTAATTTACGATCGACGATGGTTAACACGATTATCCGATAGAATTCCATGTCGCGAAAAATCTTCGCGAAAGACACGATCGCCTGGACCCTGACGGAAAATCGATGAAAACCGGTTTCGTATTAGTGATTAATACCGTTAAGAGCGTAATAATAAATGCGTTTCGAAAGGCTCCAAATAAATTCGTGGAAAACGTACGAGCTGCGACGATCCGGTTTCGAGAATAATTGCGTTTCCGTTCTCACCATAATGCGAAGAGGCTTCGTGCATCTTAGTTTTCTCTCCATCTGCATGCAAAATGTAAACACTGTTCGTCAGTATTATTTTGCATACATGCATGTTCGAGAACCGGGGCTCGTAAAACGCAGTATAGGACAAAGAATCATTTCATTCGAGTAAAATTGATCTTTTGATTGAATTTTTTTATCCAAAATCGATCGCAACGATGGGGATATAGACCGTCTGGGAATTTTATTTTTCACCGTTTCTTGGAACAGGAGAAAGATTCAGAGACCCCAGAGATATTCCTCTGCTTTAAATTTTGGAAATAAAGTTTTCTGTTAATCTCAACGATAGGTGTATAGATCATTTGAGAATTTTATTTTTCACGATTTCTTGGAACAGGAGAAAGATTCGGAGGCACCAGAGATATTCTGAACTATGTGTCTATGGTCTGAGACTGGGGTTCGTTAAATTTTGGAAATAAAGTTTTGTGTTGATCGTAAAGATGGGTGTATAGATCACTTGAGAATTTTATTTTTCGCGATTTCTTGAAACAAAATAAAGATTGGGAGGCACTAGAGGTATTCTGAACGATGTATCTATGGTCTGAGACTAAGATTCATTAAATTTTGGAAATAAAATTTGATGTCGATCGTAAGGATGGGTGTATAAATCACTTGAGAATTTTATTTTTCGCGATTTCTTGAAACAAAAGAAAGATTCGGAGACTCCAGAGATATTCTGAACGATGTGTCTATGGTCTGAGACTGTCAGCTAAGGTTCGCTGAGGTTTTCAAATACTTTGTTTGGATATTTGGTCTAGTTGGAGCGGTGTCGCGGGTTTGTGGACGGTTGACTCGGTGGAAGTCGCGATCGTGGCTGGTTTGGAAAGGATATAAGACTAGGACTGTCCAGCTTTGTGCTGTCAGACAGCGGTGGATAACGTTCGCGGGCAAGCTGAAAGGGAGAGAGAACCTTGCCACCGGCGCGGCGTCCATCAGTGGTGCGTGTCGAGAGACGGACTCAGTCTCTCAACAACCATACCGACAGTAGTTTCCTCGCGGTCGCGACCACACGACGATCAATCTTCCGCGGATCCACTGAGCGCTCGGTTCCAATCTCAAATTCGACTCGAACACATCCAACGATCCACGTTCGAGTTCGTCATTCCATCCCCTAACGAGCCACCGCGATTTTCGCCCTCGAGGACTGGATACACGCTGGTGGTGGATCGTACCGACCGGTTGGATCGTCGCGTGGATCGTTAACGAAGGATCCCTCCATCCCCAACCATCAACGGATTTTTCGTTTCAGAGGTCAGTGGTAATTGCGATCTATCTTTGCCTCCACGGTTCCGTATCTCCGGGGGGTGGTGATCTCGTTAACGATGTCGTTGGAAAAACTCACGCGGGGTGCTCTTTGTTCGATCTCTGCGACGAATTTCACGACCGTTGTCGTTCGACAGGCAATAAGAACCGCGGCCAGATTTGCCCCGAATAAATTAAACGACCGTTCGCATTAGACGCGTTGCAAAATAACGAGAGATTAGTGCAAGAGGTGTAGAATGTGAGCGGGAATACGAAATCGCTCGGTCACCGCTTGTTTGGCCGCGGCTATGCGCTTAATACGCCTTCTCGATCGAGGAAAAAGAAACGATCGCGGAGTAAAACGACGATCTACCGAAATTTCCGCTTCGAACACGCCGGAGGATCAACGACATCACAGAGATCGAAACATGGGGAAACTCGAGGTTCCGTCGAATCGATTTTAATTTAAAAACGTAGATTTGTTTAATTTAATTTAATTTTTATTTTTTAAATCTGACCAGAAGGTCGGCAAATTCGAGATCCTGATTCCGCGATAGGCAAAATCGTTTGTGGACCGATCGATGACGAAACGGACTCCTTCGAAGACTCGAATTTTTAATCGCGAGGTTTCGGGTTTACCGGTTCGTGGAAGGTATTTTTATTCGCGGGAACGTTTCCAATAAGTAATTAAAGAACGATACTCATCAGGCAGGCGTCGACCGTGGAATTTATTGCCGGAATAAAATTAATCTTTAATGTCTCCGCTCGGCGAACGATCCTCCCGATCGGGAAGTGATTCCTCCGCACGAGCGGAAATCCCACGGTGACGACACAAAAATATTGACGCGGAGAAACGTCGAGACGATCGTCGAACGTTTTCGTTTTCGGTGCAGAGCTAAAGTGGCTGTTCGAGGACGCTCGAAACTCCCGAGAGTTCAGAGTTCGAGCGCTCCGGTGACCCGAAAGAAATTTCTCGTCGTTACGGGTTCAGATTTTTTCCACTCGAGCACTGAAAGCACTCGAACAGTTTTTCCCCTCCCCGTAAACGCGACAAACAGTGGATCGGGGAATTTTAAACCTCCGTCGCGTTGGACGTTGAAAGAAAGCTCTGAATTTTCCTGCCAACGAAACGTTTCGAAAAACTTTGAACGATCGAGAAACTATGACACGGTGTCAGCTCGTATATGGGTCGAAGGTGAACATTTCGATCACTTCCTGCGAAGGCAAACTGCACGCTGCTAAAGTACAAAAATGGCTGAGTACCCGGGCAAGGTCGACACCTCTTTGTGGAAACGTTTTACATTGTGTCCTCGATCGACCGTGATTTCACGCGTTAAAGTACAGATCCTGGTCAAAAAGTAGAAAAAAAATATTTATAAGTAGGGTAAACTTGTCTTACTATAAACAGTATCGACTCCTTATTCGCGAAATGAAACATCCGATTCGAAGAGGTTATAAATATTTAAATATTCGATTTGTTGACTTACCTTGATCAAGCGCTTCCAATATCCTGTAGGCATTTATATTTAACTTACATTTTGCAACCGCTTCGTTCTACGTGCAACTTATTACATTGCGTGGGGTTACTTTTTAGAGCAGAATTTTGTACCGTCGAAATTGCGAATTCATTTGGTCAGAATAATTACCGCGTGTATTACGAAACGATACAAAAGTACGTTTTTGGGGGAATACTAACACTACTGAGTGAGTTGGTAAAATTAACGAAATTAATAAATAGAGAATTTTAAAAACTCTCAATGAGAAATCGATCGTCATTTTGGGGGCCAAGTTTTCCTAGGCGTTATCTAGATTTTCCTACACATTTGTATATCTGAATGACATCCTAAGTAACCGGGCGAATGTCGTATAAATCGCGATCGGGTGAAAAACAGGAATTGCAGGCAGTTGCGCGTGGATTTCTGCCGCTTGAAACGGTTTAACTGCACTCACGGTCATGGCGCCTGGCCGCCCTTCGTCCATAAAACTGCAAGAAAGTAAAATGCGATCGAAAGGGAGAGCGACGACGTTTCCTTCGAACGCTCTTACGCGATCGATCGCGCAACCTCGTCTATGTTCCCGTTGTTCGTTCCATCGGCGAAGGCGAAACGTTGTAATTGCATTACTCTGGTGCACACGGAATGTCGTTCCTCTTTTTTTTTTTTCCTCCCTCCGACTACAGCTTCAAAGGCACGAAACGTTTTTGAAATTTTACACTAGGTGATCCGCGTAAAGCGTCAGAGGGAGTTTGGGTTGGATACTCGCGAACTGTTCCGTTCTGTAGCGATGAAATTCTTTTTTACACCAGGGCGTTGAAAAAATAACACGTAGATTCGAGAAAATAATTCCTCTGACGTTTTTATTTTTTTCAAGACTTTTTTAAATTATTGATTTCTTATAGTCTACGGTGTCTGCTGGAATTTGTTGAAATTATCAAGTTTTCGTGACGTCGAAACTTAGTATCGATAGAGTCGCTGACGTAAAATACAACGATCATGAAGGGAGTCTATGATTTCATCGGTATTTGTGATTTATGGGACAGGCTGAACGGACGATCGAATTGCTAATAGCTCGATACATCACCGGCAACGTAACGTTTCGAAATGATTTTTTCAAGGTTGCCGGTACAAGGAAAGGTTAATGTCACACGTGCAGCTTTCAAATACCATCGTACGTTACACAGATGAGGGAATTGAACTCTTCGAATCTCAGAATTAACCATCAGGATCGATCTCTCGAACGAATTGCTTGAATCAGATTCAGGCAAAATGGTATCAACCCTTGGCCTGTGTCTTGTACTCTCAAAACGTAATCGTGGGGCATTTCAACCCCTCAAAGTAAAACAAAAATCAGTTTCAATTTTATATACAAAATAAATTCAATCTCTGTCCTGTCGAAGTACCCCACGATATCAGTTAAGGGTTGAAATAAATAGAAGCTGTGTTTCTCGATTCCCTGTGCTCCTCAAGTGTCGTGCAAGCTTGTAGTTCGTAATTTCTATTTTAAATACGCTTGAAAAGAAATAATAAAAGACTTTTTGATTTATCCTGACACGAGGAATATCTCAACACCGAAAAAGAAAAATCTGAGGTCCATAAATGTCGCGTATAACGGTACCGATAATTCATTCTATCGGCTCCACGGCTCGTTAAATCAGTTATCCGGGGAATAAACAATGCTCCGACGAGGACGTTTGAATCGCAACCTGCCATAGAAACTCCTTCGTGCGCCTCGATCGAATTCCCAAACCTGAATTATCGAACAATTTTCAATTTATGGGACGCGAGTGTGTGTTCAAAGTGCAACAACATGGGACCGGTTCGCTGCACTTTCCAGCGACTCCTTGCTCAAGGATCCGCGTGGGGGTTTATCGTCGACCGATCTATCGAGCACCGAAAGACGATGTCGCTAGAAATTTCACCTGCCTTGAACCCTGACGACGGTACCAACCTTCCTTCTTTTCCTCGGCAGCTACGGTCGATGGCATTCCGAGCGTTGTTTACGCGTGGATTTCACATCGATCTCAATACCATTGGCGATCTATCGAGGCCTGCAGCCGCGTCCACGTGGACGTCTCGTTGCGTTACGGTCCATCTATGACGAAAACGACAGAGAACCGTTTGATCGTCCCCTTTCAGAAAAACCAGCCGACGTGGCTGGCGCGCGCGTAAACGTCTTAGGGAGACTGGCGTGTACCCAATAATCTTAATAACAGCGCGATAGCAGGCGGAACGATCAATCCTCGATCGAGCTTGCCACACGCGACCGCGCGGTTTGACAGCTCGTTATCATCGAATTAAGCGCAGCCATACTTCGTCCCTGAAGAACAAGGTGCGTGCACAGCCGATAGAGATCGCAGATAAATTCCGTTGCGACATTCCTAATTCGTTGTGCCCTGCAGACGTGTTATTACGCTCCTGTTTGCGTCGCGATCCTTTACCTATGCTGTCTCGAAAAATACTCGATCTTTCGGAATTTCTTTTTAAACGCTACTGCTCGGTGAACCGTTAGCGCCTGTTCGTTCTCACGCTGGAAACGATTAAATAGTATACAGATTTAAAGTTCATCGGTGCTACCCCAGCAATGCTTATAGCATTATTTGACACAAAGGAAAATAGATAAAATTGTTGAGTTGTTGAGTTGTTTTCTTTATTTCAGAAGATGAGGGAGTTAATTAACTATTGTGAATTTTTATTCTCCCCCAAATTTGAGCCGTTTGCATTTAATTTTCCTCTTCTCTTTCACTGTATTTCATTTCCAACGTTTCACGAGGATCCAATTAACTTTTCGGAGAGTGTTTTTATCAGAACGTTTCCAGGATCTCGTAGGTGAAATTCTCTTTAACCGTATTACACATTACGACGAGCTATTTGTCCCGTACCTCGACACGGTTATAACCGATTACAGAAACCGCCGCGTGGCGAATTGGGCAATCGTTTTACTTTCCAAAGAAATTACGAGTTGCCAAATGTGAAAATCGCGTTTGGACAACTTTCTACCATTACTGGTTCGCACGCGTCGGGAACTGTCTCAGAGACGGTGCATCGCGCAAAAACCACGCACACGCGGCTGCGGGGAATTACCTTAGGCTGTTTTAAAAGCGATTAGGTCGGTGCACGTGGATACTTGAACGTTGCATCAGTAATTCGAACAAAATAACGAAAGTATGAAATACGACGAGTCTCTTTGGAAATGGCAGATCTCCCATAAATGGCAGGTTTCATTGACATATGCATTCTCAACGATGGCATCGAGTATTACTCAGTGTCTCAGTCCAGGGGACTATAACCTCCTTGGCTCGAAGGCCATGCACGTGTTCTACCTCCTTTTTCCTTATGGGTCGCGAGATAAAAAGAAACGTTTGCTTCGAATACTACAAAGAGTCCCGTCTTCGTGATATTCAAGCTCTAGAATATTTCTAAATATTTAATACCGCTGAAAATTAAGCTGAAAGACCCAGGGAAAAATTCTGTTGTTCAACTTTCGTCTAGTCCGCTCCGAGAGTCTCTAGAATTTTGATTTCTTTTTGTCCGCGTAGTCGCGTACATACGAATGATCCTATTATGCATAATTCTTCGCCTTTATCAACGAAAAGGTTCAACTTCTGGGAGAGTTGTACCAAAAGGACCCCCAGAGGAAATTGCTTCGCGTCAATTAGACACCGGTGGTTACTTCCAGCCCGTTAACCCTGGGGTGGCGATGCTCCAGGGTGCAGAACACGTTCCTGGCCTTCCAAGCGAGGAGGGTTGTAACTCTCTAAGCTTCTGCTTTCTCCACGAAGTCTTCAGTCACCTGCTGTTCCTATTTAGAATCGTTTCCTTATTACAAAATCAATTTTCCCTATCATATCGTCAACGTTTTCATCATCGCCTCGTTCCAATCTGACACAGCATCTTCACGGAGTGGCGAAACCACCGTATTCCGATTGAATAGCTTCTAAAACATCTTACGGTAATTCCATATCGTTGTATTCGTACAGTTGCGCGACTCGAAATCATCAAGAACACTTTCCATGTCACGATTCCACGTCCGTATACTGGTTCCAAAGTGCGTTTCACATACTCTTGAGCAATTTATAATTTTTTTTTTCGACTAATCGCGCTCAGCCACGAAAGGAACAGCTCATCGTGACACGCAACATCGATGGACGAGGATTTCAGATTACTATCGGTCGTGGGGGAGCCTAGCAGTCGATCATGCACTCTGGTGAGAGACAACTTGTTCGAGGAGGTTCGTTTATAATCCAATAACTCAATTTTTGAGAATATTCTGAAATCTACCCCTTCGTTAACAAAGACTCTTTTCACCTGATTTTTGAATGATCAATCACCTCAGTTTTCCCATTGAAATTGCACGTTTAATACGCTTTAATAGTTTGACTTCTTCTCACCTAATTTTTCAATGGTTATCGTTCAATTTCAAATTTCCATTTGATTCTCATCTTCCCCATTGGAGTTGCAAGTCAAGTACGCTTTAATGGAAGAGTTTTACGAGCGACTGTACCCCGTGTAGCGTTTTACAGTGACCATACGAGATCCAGTGAGTGTTGACGTGTTCCAAGGATGTGGACGAGGTCGTCAGCGGGCCTCTAAAGTCTGGGGAAACCCCTGAGCGCGAGGGCAACGTTCCTCCAACGGGGACAATGCGGCGAATCCTTCTTGGAGGGACGCACGAGTAAACAAAAAATTGATCAGACCGGTCAGGTACCTTGCTCGAGCGGCCAGTCTGAGAAAAAGGGCCGCAGAAGAAGAAAGAGTCACGCATTAACGATCCCGTTCACCTTGGTTCGGAGCTAGTAGCCACCGACGAGGTTTCTGGCTCTTTTCCAACCGGTGCTCCGCAAGTTTCGGAGTCGAGTTGCATCCCCTCGATCCCGATCGACCATTCGTTACTGTATTTCTCCGCCACGGTGACGAAAGTCCTTTAATATCGCAATTAACCTCCTCCCGTTGTGGGCATCCAGCAACCCGTCGTCCTTTCGTCAAAGCAGACCTGGAATTTATGACAAATCCCGTTATTCAGAGCTTCGTTCCTCGTTTCTTACAATAGGAATTATATCTCAGCGCGATGACAGAAGTGGGATGTTGCTGCAATTTATGGTTTATAAGATCCACGGTTTGAATTCGTGCCACGTTTTATGCTAGCAGTAACGAACTTGACGCGAATACGTGATGCGACCTAAGAACAACGCTACGGCCATTCTTAACACGTTTTGTACAATATTTGTGGGGCTCATTAGACAAGAAATCGTATAAATCAATTCCTGGTGCATCGCAGGGACCCCAAAACATCAAATTATCTTCGTGTCTTTCCTTTAACGAGTTGTCGTTGGACGAATCTTTCACGAACTTGAAGCACTAAATAGAAATTTTGAAACAGTGACCTACTGCAGGACAAAACGCACTCGAACCTCGTTAATCAAAGGATAACGATTTCTGATCGTGTTACTTGGCCAATCAAGCGTTGCACAAAGGTTCGTCGAAATTGCTGTTCATTCTCGAATTGTATTTCGATCGAAAACAATACAGTGTTTGTTACACGATACAAAATTGTTTATTGAAACGGTGACGTTTGAAAGAAATTTGCAAAAAAAATAATGGCAGGCGTAGAAGACTGTTACTCAATGTATTTGGCAAAAAAATGAATAATCAACGAGGCCTGGACAGAACCAGCGTTCAAATTCCAGGTTTCTGAAAGGGTTAAACACGCTCGTCGTAGACTTCTTAGAACGAATTGCGTTAACTGACGTTTCGCAATGTGACAGCTGCCCAGTCGATCGCGGCGACAAGGATTTTAGAATCTCGACCAGAGGAAAAAATTCCGGGTTACAATAATCGCCGCGACTGATTGCTCGCTGGCCGTAATTGGCCGTGCAATTAGGAGATGGCGATAATTATTCGGACCCGTTACCGCGCTCGAGGACGCGGCTCGATGATCCTACGACACCTCGTCGCCACCATTTTACGCTTCCTTGAACGAGGCTCGCGGAATCCCGATGATTCACGCGCGATCCAGTTTCGACGGAAATCCCCTTTGAATCGCGCGCGCTGAAGAACCGATCTCTCGACGCGGCGAGACGCCCTTCGCGACTCGATTCGAATCGACAAACCGCTTGCACAAGATCGGGAAAAAATAATTATTTAATTTTGCAGCTTTAAACAGACCTTAATTCAATTTAAAAAAATATTTTTCTACCATCTTCTATTTAATTCTGGAAAAGAATTTACCGAGTCAAGTTTTGATATCGAGAAACGAGAAAATTATTCCCATTCATGACAAGCGCTTGAAGCGTTGACCATTTTCAGTAATACATTTAACAAATCGATGTCGCAAGCGCTGCTTGTAACGTACGAGGAGTTACTCGATTACATGCACGTTGCCACATATCCTCTGGCAGATTTCTTTTTCCAATTTCCTCCGCAGGAAAGAAATGCACCGAAAATGGTCAACGTTGGTCGAACGAGGATGAATCAATTTTTATCGAGAACCAGCGACTGTACACGAAAAGAAGGGTGCTTATAATTTGAAAGTGCAATTGTAAAAAGGAAGTAGAATGATCAGAAATAGGGTAGAATTAAGACCATATTTCATGTTTATTTACCATCGTGTCGTCATCCCCAACGCAGAGGCAATTACGGCGATCCTTTAATGGCGGTTTCCTCGAACTGTTTCCTCGGTGCACGCAGTTAGGTTTACTCCGACGCTGTTCATCCAAGGCGAGCACCGACGAACGGCGTTCGACAGTCTCCAGGGACGACCGCGTTCCGATCACTGGCTATAGGCAAACAGGAAATTACGTACCGACGACCTGAAACAATGATGTATTTTTTTTATCCGTCGCCGAGACAGAATATGAATATTCCCCGCCGGTCGGGTAACGAATGCAAATCTGCGACCGGCACTCGATATATTTTACGATGCATCGAGTACAAATGACTCCGAACATTCGCAATACAACGATGAATACGAAACACAGGTGAACGTGAATATTCCCAGTGCCACGAGACACAATATTCCAGTTTTTCCTCGTCGATTATGCCAAGAACTGAATACATACATTAAGCAGTTTAGATGCATTTCAATTACAAAATTGATTCCAATGTATCTCGTGTCTGCGCGCGATCGAAGGCGCCCGGAATCGGTTACAATTGTCGATGCAAATGCGTTTTATCGATTAATTTGTCCCTCGTTTGCATTAAGAAATATTTTACTCCACCCGGAGGTAACATTCTAATTGCTATTTCTTCACACAATCTGTCCAAGCAGACACCCGGGATTAAAAATAAATCTGAATACATTTCGTTGATTTTGGACAATCTAAACTACAAGTTAGACACTTTGTTCGCAGATTGGCCCGTTTGGGAATAGTCGTGGACAATGTCGGGAGTCATGGAGTGGTACAAGGACGTGATGTACAACAGAAATGGTAACGGGACGCCATTGGTAAATCGAGTCTGGAGAATACGTCGCGTGGTCTGTGACGAAGTTATCTTGTCTTCCAGATCCAAGGACCACCGATTGGTTCTTGATGTCGGGGCCCGGTCCGTTGTTCATGATCGTCGTCAGCTACATCTACTTCAGCATATCCGCCGGGCCAAGGTACATGAGGGACAAGAAACCGTACGATCTGAGGAACGTAATGATCGTTTACAATTTTATACAAGTGCTGGCCAGCATATACATCGTCTACGAGGGTCTGGTTGCCGGCTGGCTGATGGACTACGACTTCAAATGCCAACCAGTCGACTATTCGAACAACCCCAAGGCTCTCAGGGTACGATCAGGGCCGAAAGAATTTTCAAAAATACCTTAAATATTTACAACGCGACAGCCACGGAAAGTCTGTGTTTCAAATATTCAAGAACAATCCATTCCTCGCCTCGTTCTTTTCATTCACCTCGCTGTTCAACGACTGCTTCCCAGTTCAGCTTATTTTATGACGACTCCCATTTCCCTGAAGTAGTTAGAATAATAATGTCCTCAACGATAATTCCACCCATGCCGTATTTCCCAGTAAAACTGTGACCTTAATCAAGTCGAAACAGCTCTCTTCCTAACGTCAGTATCGGGTGATTCCATAAAAGAAGCTAAAAACAGGGTGATTATCAATTTTCTCTTGAAATTAAATTTATATCAAGTTCCACGCCTTAAATACGAGAACGAGCCAAAATAAAAATGCTTCCTCGTCAAACGCTGTCCACGGATTTAAATAACAAGATAGCAATAATACTTCGCAAAAAAGGTAAGATTAAAGGATTATTGCACGATAAAGGAAATTGCGTAACGACTAGTAATTTATGTGAAGCACGGGAAAAACTTCCACGCGACTGTACAACTACGAAGACTATAAACGAAGAGACGGAGACTTTAACGATTCGTAAAGTAGTTTCGTATTGTACGGAATGTGAAATCAAGGAGGCCACTAAATGATTTTCATTGCTCACGAAACTATTACTAGCAGCTCATTAGCAAACGAAGACGTAAAAGTTAACGACAGGGATGTCCACAGAAAATCAAACCCTGGTCATGCTAATGAAGCCATTACTCTAAACACTGTTATCAAACATAAATGACTCGCAGCGTCTTCAAAAGTCACGCGAACTTTCGCGTGAAAATTCCTGTAAAAATTTCCGTGCAAAACTGGAGCACAATTTTGATAAAAAAAAAAAAACGTTTCGAAAATACTTTCCATTCGGTTCCACGTATAATTTGATCGCCGCACGAGCGTTGCAGAATTTCTGGATAAATTTACATATAGAAGAGTATTGCCCGGTGACTTCAATTTACCGCGAGTTAATTGGTATAGCGCTCTGTCCAACGTTTTATCGCCATCTGTTTCCGCGCTACACTCTAATATCTCTATGCAAATCGATTACGTATATCGCGTCAACAATTATGGATCCTTGATTCAACTTTTCACAATTTTCAGACCTCGTCCATCGAGCATCCTATTCCACCTGCAAAAAAATAAAGATTCCCCGCTTATTCAAAATAGAATAAAAATTTGATACCAGTTTTCTCGACACAGAAAATACAACTGCCAAGAATGCCCGTTTTCTAACTTCGACGTGACTACAACTTGCAGATGAATCGCGGCACGCACTTCTACTTCATCTGCAAGTTGGTGGAGCTCCTGGACACGGTGTTCTTCGTACTACGGAAGAAGAATGGTCAAATCAGCGGTCTCCACGTCTACCACCACGCATTAATGCCGGTTTGCGGCTGGATCGGTTGCAGATTTTTACCAAACGGTCACGGGACTCTTCTGGGTGTCATAAACGCGTTCATCCACGTGATCATGTACACCTACTACATGCTTTCCTCGATGGGACCTCACATGAGCAAGTACCTCTGGTGGAAGAAGCACCTGACGTCCCTGCAGCTGATCCAGTTCAGCATCATCTTCTGCCACAGCGTCCAGGTGCTGTTCAACGGGTGCAACTATCCAAAAGTGATCGCCTGCCTCCTCTGTCTGAACTCTCTGGTCTTCATCTACATGTTCGGATCGTTTTACGTGGAGTCTTACATCAAACCTCGCAGACGAAACAGCAAGGCCGCTGGCGGCGACTGCTCCACCCAGATCGTCAGCAACGGCAAGGTTAAGAACAAATCGGAATGAGACGGGATCGATCGACGAAAACGTCCTCCAAGGGCATGGAGGCTCTCCTCCATAGAGTGTTTTTTTTATCGACCGTGGACCACCCTGGCAAGGGGAGGAACATGTTCATTAGCTGTTAATGGTTGTGTAACGCAGAGAGACGCATTTCGAAGATCAGTTTCGAAATAATCGTTTTCAAAGGACAGGGTAGACTGGACCGTTTCAGAGGTCCGTTCGTGATAGTAAAACGGACGCTTCGGGTTATAAGAAACATATTTTGTACTTGTCGTCCATCTTTTTTAATCGGTTTGGAAGGATGCGTGTAGCCATCGTGTCTCGGGAGGGTAAAATCTTCGACTTTCAGAGTGCATAGAGTGATTTAGAATAGTTTGAGAGCGTTTAATCGGAACAGAATACAAAAAAAAATACTGAAGAGGCGAATGAAAGTATAAAGAGAGGTAGAGTTAAAACGCTACGAAATAAAATCATTGTGAGATAAAATATATAAGTGAACGTTACAAAAATAAAAGTATGAGAATATGTATATATATAAGTTATTTAAACGTAATAAAAATCGATTACGAAGGATAGTGTTAATTTTGTTTATTTTTAAAGACGCCTGTCTTGTACTTTTACGATGCTCACGTTAAAGCAAACGTACGCTACGTATATTGAGACACTATTTATATAGTTTTCTCGTGCATTTGTAACTTTCGTCACTGATGTTTTCAACGAGGATCGAGTTAAAAGCGTTCGAAATTCCCGCCGTATCACGAACGATCGAGAACGCGACGAGGGCTTCGACAGGAAACACGAAATCGATCGCGAATGGTAACGGTTGATTCGAGGCGTCGATAACGAAGGAATCGATCGTCTGACGATCGATCTTGGCATTCGATCCCATCGAAAGTATTGCTCATCGGTTGGTAAAACAGAAAAAAATCATTCCATCGTCGAATCTGTGTGGGTTTCTTTTTCCGTACTAAATACAAGGTGGAATGAAATTCGTTGTGGCTAATATAGATGAATTCTACACCTTTGGATCGTTAAAAATAATTGATCTTAACCATGAGATATAGAACCATCTCGATTAATTCTGGATACTAGTTAAGCTCATGTGCCAGCCGATAAACAAGTAAACGATAACGCTGCTAACTATACTTGAAATATAAAAATTACCGAACAATAATAAAACCTTCCTATCCAAAGGTGCAAAATTCTTCACGATAAAACGTTTTTTGCCCTTCCAGTATATGAAAATGATCGTCAACGGCGTTCGTGGATCCAACAATTAGACGCTGGACATTTTTGTACGAAGCTACGTAATACATGTACATGCATTTATTGTTTGTTGAGTTATGTGTTTGAGTTACAACACGTTGGAGGAGAATTCTGTTACGAAGTTGCAGGGACAGTGTGCTTACCAGCAACTAAATAGACCGTTCAACTTCTGAAAGTATTCCGAATTTGGGTTAATACATAAACGATTTAAATGTTTCTCAATAAAAATGGAATATTTTTACATACATATACTTTCGATAATTTTGTTGGTTCCTTCGGCTAGACAATTGGACTCATATCCATATTAATGGTATGCGAGCTACATATACCTATGGCCTGCATTGCGTTTCTATACCGCTCGAAGTATAAATAAATCTAAATTAAATTACCGTGGACTGTAGGAACCGCGGAGAATCGAATTTTCAAAACTGGAAGACCTCTTCCTCCACTATAATCAAAGACTCTGTACGCCATTTTGAAATTTTATCATCACGCGTTAGATTTGAATTATTTTTTTTTAATTTTTCCAGGAGTTCGACAACATCTATGTAATATACTTTAAAGAAATCCCTCTTCCTAGTCCATTATGCGATCAACCCTCGTCTCTGTTAAATACCATCAGCATACAAATTTATTTACAGTAATTTAATTATGATACCCAGCCTCGGATTGTTTCAAACTGATTTCCCGATTTGCAATTTGTACTCCAACTGTTTTCTATAAATTACGAATAAATTTTAAGAAACACAACGCTTACGAGGGTTACAAATTTTATTTCGAGACTGGAGGAGCAGCGCAGAGTTGATTAGTAAGAGTTTTCCTCGAAAGGATCTGGTTTCTTTCCCCGACGGCGACGCAAAGTTCGCGAAAAAAACACGCGGACGTTCAATGCCATAGTAAATCATCGATTATTCACCGATCTACATTCTTTGTCGTCAAAGGGCACGACCGTGAGACCCGGGGGACCTCTTCATCCGCTTCATGCTAAAAATGCCACTCGTCGTTATTGACGTTACCGTCCATGGAAATTAAACGCGATGCACGCCATCCGCGTCAACAGGCATCAGTTTGACTGATGCGAGAGAAATCGCTGGAAAAACGACGAGATCGATCGAGAAAGGGCCGTGGTCGAGTGATCGACGAGACAATAGAGATCAAAGGATTCACCGGTGCTATGAATTTACGGCTGTACGACGATCCTAACGATTCCCAATGATTCTCAACGAATTCTAAGGACGAACACAAATAAAAGCTTGACCTTTAATCAAGGTCAGGGCAGTGCATTTTCCATGTACACGTAATTAGCAAACGAATCGGATAAATTATGATTGAAGGCCAGTAAAAAGCTGACCGAATGTTATAACATATTAATTTTAGAGAAAACTTACGTTTCCCCCGTGAATCAATCGTTAATACCAAAAAGTGCTGAAATAAAACAGAAACAATATTTATAAGAATGGATCCAGATTTGGGGTGGTTGTGGGTTAGAAAAACTTACATTTCTTTAGTGAGGATCACTGGTTTTATATTAGTTTTTTTTTGAGAGTTAAAATTGATGCGATCGAATATCTTTCGCCAGCTTTGCTGTGCTTTGTTTCACCGTACGATCGATAGTACGTAAAATACGATTACGTACTTAGCAATGGAAAAATGCTAACGTTTCGTCTGGGTTTTGTTTATGCGCCTTGGCCCCGATTCCAGAAGTTCTTAGACTCGAAGACAATGGCAACAGGGGAAAAATATCATTAATTTCAAAACGAAACGCTATCTTTTGCTCGCTTCGAACGTTCCGTCGTCCGTCGTCTTCCAATTACGCAATGTTTTCGCCGATCCTCGTCGACGAAAACGAAACGTTCCAAACGAGCAACGCTGTTGATATTCTCACGGCAACGATTGACTTTAGGTCAGTCATTCCCGAACCGATTTTGCAAGCAACCACCATATTTTGCCTTTGCGTCAATACTGTTTCGCAATTCGTAAAAAATAGAATGCACATTTTACCATTTACGCGCATCCTCAGTTTTCGGAATTTAAACATCGGTCTGTTGACAGTAGAAAAGCAAAGACATAAAAAGCTATGACGTACGACGTTCGTAAAATAGATTACTCTTTACCCTGGAACACTATCTACGATCTAGGCAATTTAATCGATGATTTATTTGACGATGAAAACAATTAAAACGACGAGAATAAATACTCTCGATCATTTTGACAGTTGAATTTGGTAAAATTTTATTCTTAATTTGATCCTATATTTGATATTTAGAATAATGAAAAATATATATTAAAAGGAGAGGAGAAAGATATTATAGTAAACAGTATTAGAATCCGGATTCTATTATTTTTCGTCGAACGAGCAATAATGTTACGTGCAAGCGGATTACACGGTCAACGACTTTAATTATTGTATGCAAATTTCAACGTCGTTCGAACAACATATCCAGAAGGTGTTCGGTCGTTGCTCGGCCAGGTCAATGAAATAAGTAGATATTTAAACGAGTGGATATCAATGATGTTACAGATAGAAAGTACGGACCAAGGAACAAAAGATGATCGAGCAAGAAATGCAAAGTTGCAAAGCAATCGCTTTACCAATTCCATACCGGATGTTTAGCACAACAGTGACAATTATAAGTGAAAAATAACAGTGAAAATGTAGAAATATTCAATAATTCCAGCTGTGTATCTATTACTATGAAAATATTTTTTCATTGCAAACAATGTTGCAATTCTCCGTTCTTTCGAAGACTTAGAAAACGAAGGTATTTAATAATCAAATGAGCAGTATTGAACTAAAAATAGCAATATTTAGGCACCGAATATTTTTGTAAAAGCATCGAAGGACTGTTCTATTCGATACCTGTTCAAATTTGGCGCCAGCGAGACGCGTCGCCATTTTGACTGCCGCGTGAACTCCTCGACGCTTTCAAAGTGAAATGCATTCCTTTGCATGTGCATTCGATGTATATTTTACACCGTCAGCGTGTCGTAAACCAGCACAGGCGAATAACTATTTATTTCATATTTTTGTCGATCATTAAACGGCAGAAAGGTAAATTTAATTTATTTGAAAAAGCTTATATTATTTACAACTGCTTTCTTCAAAATTAATAAAATCTCTGCATCGAAGGCACACTGCATTGTGAGCTCCTGCAAGGGTAATTTTCTCATCCCGCAAAGTATAGTAAAGTGACCTGCAGTTTGAGAATAAATATACGTTTCGAATACGTTTCTCGTAAAGACGACGCGCTAACGAATCGTCAGAAATGATGCAACGAGAATTATTCAATTTCCTGCGTTAAATGACATACGAAACGTTTGCGTCTGTCTTGTCAGCGCGACGGTTCCTCCGATCGCGTAGGGCCGGATCGGTAACGGTGGCGCGGTTTAACCTTGGCTAAGGTTACTTAAGGTCGTACACCCTTGGACGGAAGAGGGTCAACGAAGTTGGACCTCGCGGACAGGCGAGTTCCACAGCGAAGCGCGCACGTAGCCCCGACGCTAATTAAAATATAATAGCTGTCCGATTCAATACACCATTTTTAAACGGGGGAAAAAAGTTTGTCAGTCTGCTTCGATTTTCCAGGCGGTTTGGTTGGAGAACGGAGGCCTGTGTCGACCGAGGCTCCGCCGGATGCGACCGATCCCGAGGACCCCTTGGACGTTGGAAAGACTCCTGTCTTCGTTTCTGATTTCTCTCTACTGTTTATCGATGACGAAAAACGCTCGATAGAACCGACGCTTAGGATCTCTTTATCCCTCTTCTCGCGGGGTCATTTCACCGGACGAGGATTATCGTTTGACGAGTGCTATCATCCACAGACTTCCGTGCCCTTTTACCAATCATGGCGACGTTGATAAGACGCATCTACGAGGCGTACTGTTACGTGAACGACGAACTCTCAGGTACCGATCCGCTGAATTATTCGATCAACGAGCGAATTCTAGCGGACGTTTCTCTCTGTTCCTCAAAGATCGTAGGACCCAGGACTTCTTCCTCATCGGTTCACCATGGGCCTGCCTTGGCATAATAGGCTTCTACTTGTACTTCGTACAGGATCTAGGGCCCACGCTCATGGAGAAGAGGAAACCCTTCGAACTGAAGAGGATCATGCAGATATACAACCTCGTTCAGATCATGTGTTGCTCGTACGTGCTATACAAGGTAACGTTTGATTCTTTACGACGAATTTGAACACGATTCTCGACGAGAACTAGCCGAACTGGAACGTTGCAGGCGTTGATCATGATATGGATAATCAAGTACAACATAGTCTGCGAGCCAGTCGATTACTCCTACACGCCAAACGCGATCGAGGTAAATACACACGGATTTATTTCGACGTTCCCTCGAATAGTACACTAACCGCGTATCGCGTGACACCCAGGTATCCAGGACGGTGTGGTTATACTTCATAATTAAGATCTTCGACCTCCTGGACACGGTGTTCTTCGTTCTGCGAAAGAAACAGAACCAGGTCTCGTTCCTACACGTCTATCACCACTCGGGGATGGTTTTCGGTACCTGGGCGACCACCAAATTTATGGCTGGAGGACACCACATATTCTTAGGTGAAGGCTAGACTCTTGAGATACGAATTTTAACACGCTCTGGACGTTAATTGTTAGCTTCGAAAATCAAATAAGCGATAGATAATCAATCTAGGCGAAATTGAGGTCTATGGCTTTTGGGTGAATAACAAATCTTAGTAACTGTAAATATTCTCAATGATTGATCCCCTTGGCTCAAAATCAAAGCCTGATAAGATCGAAGCATTGTAGTTATTTTCTGTCAGGGCTGGGGAAAATTTAAAACATATTTGCATAAGTAAATACTCGTATTGAAATATAGAAAACAGTGAACTAAGAATTTTAAGAACCAAACATATTTCACAATTGTCACTCGCTATCTTCTATTCTATTCTATTAAAGAAATGTGTCTGAATGCAGACGTCTTCTAAAATATGAACTTGAAGGTCATAAACCTCTTATTTGCAATACTATTAGCTGCAATATCGTTATTCCAAATACTATACCGTGGAATATTATTTCCACGCGTAGCTACACACACGAGAAAACAAAAATATTTACATTCTATTTACTATATTTCCCATAGCGCTGTTCTCTATATACTCTGTACTTTCCAAAGTGTCTCTCAACTTTCTGGTAACGAGTTCGATGTCACAGGTACGCTGAACTGTTTCGTCCACGTGATAATGTACAGCTACTACCTGGCGACGTCCATGGGGATAGGGAAGCCCTGGTGGAAGAAGCACATCACCCAGCTGCAGTTGGCTCAGTTCTTCCTGTTGCTGATCCACTACGTGACGCTGGTCGTGGTGGACGACTGTGGATTCCCGAAATGGACGTCCGCCGTGCTGATACCCCAGAATCTATTCATGATGGTCCTATTCGGCGATTTCTACTACAAAACGTACATCAAGAAACCGATCTCGAAGGTCTCGCAGAACGGTTTCGCGTCGGAAGGGACGAACGGGAACCTAAAAAGCCAGTAAATCACCCCATGGAACGACAGGTGTTCTATTACCGTCATCCCCTCGCAGGTTTCGCGATCGTTCGAGGAACTCGGTGCCCAAATTCTTTCCAAGAGACAGAAACCAGTATCGACGCTGCACAACTCGTAGACAACGAACGCCAACGGAGGCCAACGCGACGCAAATCGAACGATCTGAGCTTCGTTCGGACTGGGAAAAGAAAAATTGCACAGTCCGGATGAAAATCACTGGACTTCGGTTTTATTTTGCTTCCAAATTGTATCAGAGTCCTTTTCATTTCAGGGATCAAATTGTTTCCACGGGGGATCGATTGCACAGTTCTTGCAAGTATCCCTAACGCAAATCGACGCTTGGCCGCCGTTTCGCGATTCGAAAATACTGTTAAACGCATTCGTTGTGGTTCGAATATAGACTGCACGATAGAAAGCTCATGGATCCTTTCCTACGGGTCTCATCCTTGTATTTAAGTTCGTTCATCATGTTTCGCCACTTACGCACGATTCTTATTCTCTGCGTTCGAGAGACATAAAAAGTAAAACGGACGTAATGCTCGTTCCGGAACGAGGACCTCTTCGTTAATTATTGTACGTCTGTTTGTTTGAAAAATAAATGATACCTTACCAACGATCCAATATCACATAAATGTAAACACGAACACTGCAACCGTCGCATTTGTAAAATTCATAGCTCTTTTTAGGCCTGGACGCTAATGAATTGTTTTCAAGCATTCTTTTAACGAGTTCTAAAGTATATTGGGATCAGCCTTTCGGGATGGCCTACTTGTCCGTCGGTTTAACGGACCACAAGGCGGAAAAAACACTCGGAGGACCACTTTTAGCGGCATGTGCCGTTATGTTTCCTCGCGTCTAAGAACGATGATGGAATTTCGGTTTCACTTCTAGGCTCCGAAATCGCGTCCCGTTCATCTCCCACGGATCGTGTACCAGCCATGATCGAAACGTGTTCTTTATAAGCACACAACGTCGGAAGAAAACGGGGCCAAACTTCGGATACTTGTCCTACTCGAAAAAGGTTTGCTGTTTTCTATTCTAAATTACGCCTCGACTATAAATCAGATTTAAGATTTTCAGTAATAAAAATAGTCCTTTTAATTATAACACAGTTTATACGCGGAATGATTCATTTAGAGGAAAGTCGAGCCCAGAAAGGATTTTCTAATCGCGATTTTTTTAAATAAATAATTTCTTTATTCGATTTTCTCTTGGAATGATCGTAATGGAGATTAATTCGTCGACGAAGGCATAATGATCGCGCACAAGAATAGAAATGACACGCGAGCGTTGCTGCAACGGTTAAAGGCTTCGCTCTAAACGGGTTGCATAAGTAACAATAATGTTGATAAAAGCGTCGTTTCCCCGCTTAATGTCACAGCTTCCGGTTGCTCCCGGATCCACGCGATCGTTGCCGTTTTTGATTGACCGCCGAGGCCAGGAATTCCCCGATTCTGCGACACTCGATCCCACGCGACTCGCTCGAATTAAACATTAGACACGCATTATGTATAACAGTTACATTAGAAAGCGTCGCGGCGGCGTAACGAATTCCGTTCGGCGAGTTTCTTAACGATCTGTACAAAGTATGATCGCGATCCTCCCAACGGATGCAAGGTTTTAAAAACCAAAACGTGTATAGGCTGGTCGACAAGCATTTTCGATCTAATTTAATATAAAATGCTAAAGAATAGTACTTCTGATTTCTGTGGCTGTAAATGTAAATTCCCTTAAGCAGGGAATTGGAAGCTCATGAAAATATTGATAAGCTTTTTAAGATAATAAATTGAAATGTTTTGTGCAGAAAAAAATTCTTTAAAATGCATCGCATAGAATATAGTTTGCAAGTTTGTAATTACACAGAGCAGATGATTTTTTATTCTGTTCACCTTTGAATAAAAGACTCGTAATTTACCGAAAAAAATTGCGAGACACGTTGTGTAAAAAGTGGTAAATCACAGTCGAGAAATAAATAATCTCTCGATCGGTTGACAATAAGGGATAAAAAATAATAATTATCTCAATCGTTTCTATGAAAAAAGTCATTAATGAATCACTGACTTGGAGCGAGAATAATAATTTGAAGTCTGAGGAAGTAAATTTAAATCGTTGATGACCTAGTACTCGAAACTGAAAACATTTTAGTCGCGAGAGTAATTTTTCATCCTGTAACGTTGCGAGTCGATTATAATTTATTTTGAGCCACAATAGTTTGGACCTTGTCGGAAAATCTCGGTCAAGGAACAGAAACACGTCGCGAAAACCATATACATTTTGGCCTACTACTTGCTGAACTTCTCCACGCCTTCGCGTTGACTTCCATCGCGGCAAGTCCGTTAGAAGGGGCCTCTAAAAAGCCTGTATGTTTGAAAAGCGACCGGGAACAGTACTTGTTATTAGTCGTTAACAATCGCCCCGGAGGAACGTTCTGGTTCGCGGTTTACGATACCCTGTAATTACTCGCGAAATACAATTGATTTACGGCCAAGTGAATTCGAAAAACCTGGACACAGTTAAATTGTAAATGTAGTAGACCAGTCGGCCGTCCCACTTTTGTCTTTACTGCTCTAACTGTGTTTTGGAACGAGATCCGCGCGAGAAGAAACGCTCTGTGCCACCTGTGAGGGGGGAAAAAAACATTCGATTTCGTGGATGTGCTCGTGCAATTTCAATTTTCAGTTTTGATGGATGATTTTAATTTCAAGCGTACGGCAAGATGGACGTCGTTGAGCTAGCATCGGCAATTATTTGACTACAATCAAGATATCAAATATTTAGCCGTGAAATCACGAGATCTCTTCGACGAGCGTCACTGTTTCACGTCTCTAAAGAGTTTAACGGGGCAAACAAGTTCACGCTCGAATCCTCTTTGTCGTCTCTTTATTCCGGTCAAATAAGCCGTCCACGGATTTCGCAAATATTTGACTGCATCGTTGGCAAATACTTCACACGTTACGACTATTCTTCATTCGGTCTTTATTCGTTTTAGCGAATGTATCGCGTCCACATTAGAATCGGGATGAAATGTCCCTCCCCACACCGCGTTTTACGTTTACTAATAACCCGGAACCAAAGATAACACTTAGACTTAGTGTCTTTCTATCACGCGTGTGATAGAAGTAGAAGATAGATGAAGTCCAAAAAACACTGACTTCTAGAACCATAATTTGAATACGAAATGTATAAAAAGTTCTTCGAGATATGCATCCAAATGAAAATCGAAGTTTTTGTACAGCAAATGGTATTCATAACATCTGAAAAGAACTACGTGTTATTCAAATGTATATAATTCATTCAAAACTTGATTTATTCAAATTTGCAAAGAAAACAATATTACCATTTCTTAAAAGAATAATATTACTATGTTAACTTCGATAAATTATCGCGAAGTCAGTACGGGAAAGTCGAACTCTCAGCGTATTTCTTCACTAGGTCAGCGTGACCGTAGATTCGCTTCGTTTTAGATTAAATTTCATTTAACGACGCATTGTGAGACTCTCGAGATCTCCAATCGGGAACTACAGCATCGAAAAAACTGGCGATATTTCCAGTTAACCGATATCACGGTTTCAGCAAGCTGCCTTATCGTCGATAGAATTGCAGTTTCTACTGACCTTAATGAAGCCAGCTGCTTGTGAAACGACGCTCTGCGAACGTTCTCGAGGGTGATTTGCATATGAAATAAGTCACCGGGCCCCGGTGTAGCTTCTGCGATCGCGGAACGTTCGGTTCTGTAATTCCTGGTTTCCGTTTCGTTCGATTTGTCGCGATCGGGTACGCGCGAACAAACGAGACCATCGCGCGTTACAAAACGTTTCAACATCTCCTCTAGTTGTGACGTTGCATCACGCGTAACGTCCGTTCAATGAAATCAGGAACGCGAACCGTAATCGCCCGGTCAGTCTTCGTTCGCGCTTCGAGCCTCGAGCTACGATCTTCTCGTCGCGATTTCGATCTGTTCCTCTATTCTTTTAATTAGAATGCACCACGATAGGTGATAACGTAGCTTTATCGTGCCCGTCGAAGCCATAGTAAAAATATCATCAGCGTTTCACGGCTTCATCTTCCGCGACCTAATCCTGCATCCTCATCCCTTCCTCTTTCTTCAGTCCCCAGTCGAGCGGCGGAAGTCACGATTTGACAACGAGCGAGATTCGAGTGGTGGGGCCAGCGGACGAAGATCGAGGCTCTGCTCCTATTAGTGGCTACCTTCGTCGCTGGATCATCAGTTTTTGGTTCGCGGTCTCTCTTTCATCATCATCCTCCGCGGATCGCCCGGAACTGGACAGGGAAGCGACTTCGATGCGGTAGCGTTCCGAGAACCAAACGATTCCTGCTGGTGGAGCTAAGGTAACCTCTGCATTCTGTTCCAAGGCTTTCTTCGTCGACTTTGATTAGTATGCCGCGCGGGACAATCGAGGAATCACGTTCGAGCGTTGGACCAAGCATCGCCAGTGACGGAAACGCGACACTTCGTACAGTAACGTCCGTAACGTCACCGATTATCAAGCTTTTTCTCGAAAAAAATGAACAAAGCTGATTCGTAAACGGTGGTTTAAAAAGTTCGTTGATCGATTTTAATTCATACAGGAATTTACGAGTGAAACGTGTTGTCAATTCCGGGTGGGTGCTCCAAGGGGATAGAAAAGAAATTTATAAATATTTTATCAACGTCTATATATTATATATTAACGAGACGGCGTATTCGAGTTTTTTACAATGATAATGCAAAGTGTAATATTCGAGTCGAACATCGATATAAGTAGAAACAGTGAGTAATGAACAGACCAGCCAAATCGTAGTCGCCTAAAAATGGGGTAGAATTTACAAAAATAATGAAATCATCCATGCAAATATTTTGTTTGCCAGCTAAAAGATGACTCAACGAATTATATTTGTAAAGACTAAAGAAACTGAAAAAAAATTAAGAAAAATCGAGAAATAAAGGAAGCGTGAAAGACATTCGTTCCTCTTCACGCACGACACATGGTAGACGAGCATACTTTTCAGCTTCCTAAAATTACTTCACGTTGGAAGGAGACGTTTCTCAAAATTGAAGGGTGTCTAATATTTCAGTATCTTTTTCTCGCAAGGAAACAATTTGTCTTCGTTTCAGTGTTCGTTCTGAAAGCGTGCGTGTGAAATCCGTCGACATGGCGAGCCTGATTCGCCTGGTTGTCAGCAACTACAGGGAAATGTTGGAGATCAATAAAGGTAATCGCCTGAACGCTGCGCGAAATCGTTTGACAGAAATCGATCGCGCGAATCGAATTTCTTCTTTGCGGGTCGCCTTCTTCGACACGCTCGCGTTAATAGAATACTTCGCCGGTAACGCGATCTCAGAATGCGTGTCCTTTTCACGAATTTTCTATAGCGCGCCGGGAGATGTCTTCTTTGAAATACTAAACTACGTATACCACCAAAGAAATTCAAACGATATTCGTTCTCTTGTAGAAAATCGCCGTAAATTTGCAACAATTCAGTCGAGTATATAATTTTGACTGCTTCGATAAGTCGTCGGAATGAAAGGAATTATTTTTCAGTAATTATGGTGGACACCTGGCCAATGATGGCGTCCCCCGGGCCCATGTTGTGCATCGTTGGGTCCTACCTGGCCTTTGTATTGAAAATTGGACCGAAAATGATGGAAAAGAGGCCACCCTTCCAGTTGAACGCCCTGCTGATCGCTTACAACGCTTTCCAAGTGGCCTTCAGCATCTGGTTGACTCTCAGGGTAATCGGAGACACTAAAAGGCCGATCTAAAACGTTCAGTAACCTTTGATTCCTATTCCAATTGTTAAAAAATCGTGGTTTCTTCCTTTCTAGGCAGGGGAGCCAGGCTTGGCGCGGGTGATGCTATCGAGCCAATGCAGCAATCCTAATCGAACACCCACGGACATACATCTACACACAGCTGTATGTTACCAACTGAACAACTAAAGCAACGACCAAAGAGAGATAATTAAATCAGATATTTACTATTCTCCTCCTAATTTTAACAGATATCGTCTACAGCCTGGTGGTACTTCATCGCGAAGATCACCGAGCTTCTGGACACGGTGAGTCTATCTTTATTTATTTACCGATTGCATTGAAAGTTTGTGCACCGGTAGACTTCAATATCCTCTGCGTCAGAGCGGACGGTGTATCTTGGCACGATCGTTTCTTAGAAACGTGCAAGAGGCGTTCGAGTTTCTTTCGAAAAATGTCCGTCGTGAAACGAACACCGATCGAAACGAATTCTTTTGTCCAAGGTGTTCTTTGTGCTCCGAAAGAAGCAAAATCAGGTCACCTTCCTGCACGTGTACCACCACGCGCTCACCGCTGTCTTCTCCTGGTGCTACCTGAAATTCCTGCCCGGCGAGCAGGGCGCCATGATCGGTTTCTTGAATTCCTTCGTCCATATCGTCATGTACTCGTACTACTTAATAGCAGCCCTGGGTCCAAACTACAGGAAATACTTATGGTGGAAGAAATACATGACTTGGATCCAACTGGTAAACACTCGGATTTAATACTTTGCGACCACAAGTTAATTTTCGCTATCGTTCGTCGACAGATTCAATTCGTTATGATGCTGGGGTACCTGACGATGACTCTCGCGATGGACTGCAAGGTCCCCAAAGCGCTCACCTACTTCTTCATGGCGAACGTGGTGATCTTCATCTACCTGTTCAGCGACTTCTACAGGAAGGCGTACAAGAAGAAGAGCGTCTAACGCATCGACGCGCGTTCTAACGCCAATGACTTAACGGTCAAAGAGAAAACAGGTGGCAGAGGACAGAAATGGAAGTCGTAATGGGGGCACAGTGCGTCGACGTGGACCTGGGAACGTTGCACCGGTGACCAGTGATCGAATTTATGTTTTGGAAACGTACGTGACGTTTCGAAGATTGCTCTTCCTGTGGAGAAATTCGCTCCTTAGAATCTGTAACAGCCTTCTATCAGCTTTCAATCGACCTCCACATTCGTAAAGAAGAAAGAATCGAGCTTTGATGAAGCGTTTAACCCCTTGCGCTATTCTGAAATTCGGAAGAAGCCGTGCCTAACCCATACGCCCGAATGGTCGGAACAAGCCCTAATATCGAAACTTGAAACACGATATGTCGATCGACGGAATATCGATATTTACGAGTTCGACTCGTGATATTCATGTTTTGACAAAATGTCGATTACAAGTCAGACACGTGTTATTCACATTTGATGTGAAATTGAATAACGAGCTTGACTCGTGAAAATAGTGCAACGGGTTAAGAAATAATTCAGTCAGAATAACAAGCAGTGCATATACGATTAACTTCCTTGGCTGTCGACGAATTTATAATTTACAGAATCATGCACTGCATTTATGAATTTTTCTATCTTCAGGGACGAAGTTTACATAAATTTTTAATCGAACAGCGAAGAGGTCAATGAACAATGCAGGTCGAGGCTGATCCAGATTTTCGGGAGTATCGATTCTCGAAGTGATTTTAGGTTGACGTCAGAGATTCGAATTCTGGCCCCGTTCGGGGAAATCGGTTTCACTGTTTCTCGAGACGAAGTAACGGGTTCGTGGAGCGAACTAGGCCAATAGGTCCACGGTCGAAGGCGTCGTCGGGGAGCGGCTGACAACGGAGCCTTGACCAAGCCCAAATAGCCCGGGGCACTCGCTTTTGGCTCAAGTGGGCTACGACCCGACGAAGAAAGCGAAGAGGCGGCCGTTCCATCGCGGAAGTCGCCATCAGCTACCCAGAGAAACGAGAAACGGTAATCGCTTTTTCCACGTCGAACGAGCCAGCTCTAAACTATAACACACCCGTGCAAGTTTGCAAAACCTAAATTCTGATTTACGAGAAGTGCAGCTGTGCGGCAGCAATACATCGATCCGGAGAACCGTTAACTGCAATAATATTGCAAAGTCCCGTACGGAGGCTGTAAAGATTGTCCCCGAGCGACGTTTACGACGTGAAAGTAATCCTTTTAATGTGCAACGTGAAATTTCGACCTGTGGAATTGAGAAGTAGATAGACGGTGGTATCGTGAATCTTACAAAATTATTATTTAACGCGAATGATATTGGGAAGCGAGTCACTTTGTGCCAATCGGTCTCGAACTCGATCGATCTCGTCGATCCGCTCGAAAACTCGAACGCCTTCGTCGATCGCGTGATTTCTTTGATTTTTGAGCGAATCGACGAACATTTTTTTTTTATCAATTCGGTACATCTGTCACGTTTGACGGTGTTCGATACGATTGGGATCGCTGCCGTCGATCGTGACACGTGCGAGAATTTTGCGTATTTATAAAGAATTAACGGGGGTACCATTAAGATATGTAAATGCATGGTTTTATTTATTGAAATTCTTCCGAATGGATTAAAATACGTATTGCTTCACCCCCCTCCCTCCTGTCTTTTTAACCGTTTTCTAGGGGCAAGCAAATATGTTTTAAGAATCTTGGAAAAAGAGATTGTTTACCAATAATCGTACACTTTATTCTGCGCTACGTTATACATGTCGTCTGATATAATACAAAGGGATACCGCGATACATAATGGTGTCTTCGCTTCGATCGACAAACCGGGAATCTTTGGCAAAAAGCATAGCTTTTGGAAAGAGAGACGGTTCTCACTCGTGACCAGGCAATCAGGCAGAGACTATCTCTATTTACACACCAAGTTCGAGTAACTAATAGATTCCATAATTTAATTTACACCGTATTCTATTCATAACTTACTAATACATAAAATTAGCATTTGCCCAGCAGTGGATGCAGAAGACAATGGTGAAAAAATGTTCGAAAATCCCACCCTTGAAATTCTTAAACAAAAGTAGAAATATTAATGCTTTGATGATTTTTCGTTTATTATAGAACAAGGAATAGAAATTATTCTTTGCAGAACATTTCAAGAACGAGGGACGTGTTTTTCGAGGAGACTCGAGTCGAAAGGATTCGATATCGTCGAAGCTTAAAGCCATTATTCATTCGACTCGATTATCGTCGTTCTCATTAATGCTAACGAATTTTCTTTGTTATTTTGATTCTTACTTCCGTGAAATTCGTCGTGCATGATTTCTACCTGTTAACGACGCGTCCAATTGTTTAACGCTCGCCCGTAAGTAATCGTGTCCCGTTGATTACCATTTGTTGAAAAACAGCAAGAAAGCTTAGACACACGTGGGTGCGCGGAATGAATGCCCTCGTTCATGCTAATTGCACCCATTTGCAATTGTAATGTACGACTTCTTTCAGTTGAAAATCGTTGGACGAACCGCGCGAAAAAAGACTTTTTACGCAACGTTTTTTCGCTCTATGAAATTTCACGCTCCGCGGAGAGACAAATCGATCCTGAAAGGGAACTGTCGTAAATTATCGATGAAAAGTGGAATCTTCGTGACGAAATATTAGAAGCGAAGTTCAACGAACGAGCAAAATTTTATTCCAATATATGAATATTCTTTTCATGAAAGTTTCGCTTCCTTCTTTTTTTTTTATTTTAATATGAGGTTCTGTTCGCCCAACGTAAATTATAATTTTACGTTATAGTTCAAATTGAAATGACGGTTCGTCTAAATTATTCTCGAAGCTTTTCCTGTACAATGATCACGGATAAAATACTATGCTTAACGAGTCAATTTTGACTAAGTTTTTCCAGTTACCCGGAGACCGAGTAACGAAGAATTTGGTAGCATCGTCGTATCGTTTGAGCGCTATCTTAAAAGTAACGCCATTGCTCGGACAACCTTGATTGCAGGTTCGAAATTTGCAACGGTCCTAAAGACTACGAAAGCTCGAACTTTCCGTCCCCGAACACTGTACAATCGCTATACACGTGTGGTCTCAAGCGACATAAAACCTAAAGACTCGCGGGGAACGTTCGCGAAATACCCCCCTTCCTCCTCCACTTTGATAAAATATTGTGGATTTGCAGAGTCGTAAAAAATGAGGGACTAGCGGTGGTAGCTTAAATTTAAGGAATGAACTTACACTTTTAAAAGTTCAGCCTTATGGTACTTCCAAGGAAGTATTTTAAGCAAATTAAAAATAAATAATTAGACTGTCTATCAAAATGAAATTAGCACAGTATGTCAACCTTCCAACAATTTTACATAAAATTACATAAAATTTATTCGAAAATCTTCCTCGTATCCTCAATACGTAGTTTTCAAGATTATACCAAAGGTGAAACTGTGATCTCATTCCTCGAACTCAAGTTACAAAGAAGCTATCCCTTATTTTTGGCAACCCTGCAAATCTTCCAGGAAGGGGGTAAGACGCTGATGTTCCTCGACCTATAAAAAACGATTGACCCTCGTGAGCAAATACGTCTCAACGCTTACTGTTCACCACCAGGGTGCTGTCCATTCGATACTCCTGAATAGGGGATCAGAAAAACTCGTCAAAGATTTCAATTGTCGTGGCACGATCGTACTTTCCGTTCCGTACAGTCTATCGAATGCATTTTCTTTTCCACGCGTTGAACGGAAAACCAATGGCAACTCGCGAGCATCCTGTCTTGTTCCATCCGGTTCCAGGCTAATCCGCCTTCCCCTTTCCGTTCTGCGCGTTCCCGTTCGTCATTTGCTTCGGGATCCCGTTCTCGTTGCCCTCTTTCGACCTCGCCTTCTTCTCGCCACGCTTGTAAGCGTTGGTGTAGAAATCAGCGAAGAGGAAGTAAAAGAACATCACGTTGGGGAGGATCAGGATCAACGACCATTTCGGGTAATTACAGTCGTAGAACAGCAATTGGCAGCTGTGCAGGAACGCCAGGCAAAATTGACCCTGGTGGACAGGAAAAAATATCTTTTGATTATTCCATATCAACCAAACATTTAAAATTTCTAACACACAGTATTGTTTTAGCGCCGTTTAACTTCACGACTTCTCTTATAGTATACGTACAACGAGTTTTACAATATTCACTTCCATTCTTATTCTTTATTTTCTGAGAAAAATATGTAGTCTGCCTTGCCTATCACGACCGGTCAGATCGGTTGCATGATTTATAGTGTTTAGTAAAAAAACTGGACAAAATTCTGGTTAGCTTCCGACGTAGATAGGAAATATATGTATAGCAAAGTTAAAAGCAAACAATTTTCAGTATCCACTGTCTTAGAATAGTCTAACAACGCGTATTAAAAATCATAAAACTTTAGACGCGTGCAGTTCCGAAACTACTAGTGCTATATTAATTTTCGAGGCGCCGTTAGAAGCGGCAAGGCTTCCCCTTTAAAATGGCTTTTCGTTTTTGACGATCCGACTTTCCGTTTTCGAGATATCGTAATTTATGTAAAAGGTAATTCTTGTAAAGGCCTATTAACGGGTATCAAAAATCATAAAACTTTAGATGCGTGTAATTCCTAAAGTATTAGTGTTTTGTTAATTATTAAGGTATCGTTAGCAGCGGCAAAGCCTCCCCTTTAAAATGGCTTTTCGTTTTTGACGATCCGACTTTCCGTTCTCGAGATATCGTAATTTATGTAAAAGGTAATTTTTCTTAATTCGACTATCTCTGTCTCCGTCTGGCGCGTCGCGTCGTACCTCTTTGTCGCACGTGAGTCGTGACCGAGTGACCTAGTTTCGGGCGTAGTATTTCCAAGAATTTACTACGCACTGTTTACTACTGGCGCGCGCGCGAGTTCATTGATCTCAATGAAACTTCGGACCCTTATATCTCCGTAACTAGCCACCGCGTCGACTTGAAATTAAAATCGCTATATCTCCGGAACTAATAAAGCTATCGACTCGTACAAACGCTCATTTTAAAGGGCATTTCATCCTCTACCTAATGACCATATCAGCTATTATAATTTTTGCTATCTTCTATGTTTATTTTGACATTTACTTTGACCCTATGCACCCAAAGAAGTTTCAGTAATTTCTACTGATCGTACAACTAGTATACGATAAAACTGGACCATTAAATGAACCAGGGATGGCTCTGATTCTCAGACACAGAATGAATTACGTAATTAGGGGAAGAAACGAGTAACGTTTACTGTTGATCAGTACCATTTGAAGCGTCGTGATGTACTTCTTCCACCACAGGTACTTCTGGTACTGAGGTAGTAGAGCAGCTAGCAGATAATACGTGTACATGATGATGTGCACGAAACTGTTGATGACACCTTAAAAAAAAAATAATACATATGAAACTCAGAATATTTCTGTAAATTAGAAATGTTAGAAATATAAATCGTACCTATAAAGATGCCATGACCTCCTGGATAGTATTTGGTCGCGCCCCAAGAAACCATTGGCATCACGGTATGGTGGTAGAGATGGAGGAACGTGATTTGGCTATCTTTCTTCCGGAGGACGAAGAATACCGTGTCCAGGAGCTCGGAAATCTTCGCCAGAAAGTAAACGTAGACGCCTCTGGCAACCTGCAACATGCATTTTCATCGCAATCCTCTGCAGAAACCAAATAGTTTACGCACGCGAGGCACCTTGCGCAATGCCAGAAAAAAAACATCCACGTTCTCGGCGTTAAAATAGCAACTGTGCGAATAATCGTACGTGGCCCAGTTATCGAACGCTTGGAATTACTTTTCTTGAATGATAACATAAACTTCCAGACTTCCCTACTCGTTACTAAACCGAAGGAATGTTATAAAATTCTATTTCTTGGGTCAAACCACGCACAAAATTTCTGGAGTCCGATTATTGGAACACTGTATTACCATTCGTTTCAAATATACGTACAACAGAGTGAATTAATACTAATATTATCAATGTATCGAACAAAGTATGCTGCTTTTCCTACCGAACGTCGAGTGAACACAATAAAGAGATGAAAGTGCAAAAAATAAAAATCAGAAATACTCTGAGCGCTTCCGGCGAAGTGGAGAAGTCGACAGATTGGCACTTCCAGTTGTAGTTTCTGAGCCAGGCCCCGTCCAGGCCCTCGTAGAACAGCCAACAGCTGAGCAGGACTTGCAAGAAGTTGTAGACGACGAGAATGTTTTTTAACTGGTACGGTTTCCGGTGTTCCATTTGCCGCGGTCCCCACGACAGACAGAAGTACAGGTAGCCGATCAGAAGAGTGGCACCGGGCACTGGCGATCGTATAAGGAACCAGTCTTTCGTTCGCGGATCTGGGGAAATATAAGTAATCGTAACAAACAAAGAAAGATCCATAAATCGAGTGATCTCTTACCGGAAAGATCGTGGAAGACGTGGTCGTAGAACCGAACGACCGAGTTGTTGTAGATGTTCGACATCCTGTCGATCGGAAGCACGCTGCTCGCATTCATCGGGAAGTCGACTGAAACAAATTAAATTTCCTTGTTTAACCCCTTCGACGCTGATTTATTTTATCATAGTACCGTTTAAAATATTTTTTTAAATTTATCTACTTCGCGAAGGCTCGCAAACAGGGTACAGTAATCGCGATTAGATGGATCGTAAGAAATAGAAGATCACGAAACGCGTCGAGAGCAATTAGAAAAGCGGGAACGCGGTTTAATGGAAACAATTAACGCCCTCGTGGAAACGTCTATCAAGTTCTGTTTTTCCCGGGCAATTTGTTCGTTCCGTTGCATGTGGATTGCACAACGACCGTGATCGACGGATTGCTCAAATCCACATTCACGGTTGAAATCTGTGTATGAACCGGTTCCGATTCCATTTCAAACTATTCGGCAAGCAGTGGAAAAGAAGTGAAAGAAACGCTGTCGAGGTTTCGTAGTCGTTAATGACAGGGTTTAATTGGCTTGGTCAATAACAATGTTACGTTATACGAAGGAATCCCGGCGCTTTTTCTCCGCCCTTTCTTTATCCCTAAGTCGACAATTAGCTTCGTAAATCTCTGGACAAAAGGGGCACAAGGTCGATAGAAACGTCCATTTTTCTTCATGCTGCAAGTACCTTTGGAGAAAAGTGACGTTTCACCACGTGGCGTGCTAACTTTTTATCGCGTTCTAAATTGACTGCTGTCGAAATGAAAGAGTCGATTATGGAGCTATCGTTTCAAAGATACAGTTATAAATGTACCTTTAATTATTTATTTCGAAGCCTGTGTTAATCTCCAAGAGAGAATTAATCGTATTGTTATTTTTAAAATCATTTTTACCCTGTCCATAGAAGGCCTCTGAACTATTAAAATTCTTAAGCGGCAAAGAGTTAAGCGAAGCTCGTAAAATATTGTTCGACGTTAACTTTACAACGAATCGTAAAATCACGGTCTATCCTCGAGATGCAAGTGGAACAGAACGCCCGTAAAGACAAACTCTGGTGAATATTATGCTAATAATGGCGTCTCGAGCAAGGCCACTTCGCGGCCGTCGCGGAATCTTTCGATTTTTATAGCAAATCATCGAAAAAGATTTTATACGAACCTCCTCGCATCATTTCAGTAGAGAAGTGCCATTTTCAATGCAGAAGAAAGTTCTTAAAAAGTAATTTTATAATCAGTTTTTCTTACTGGTATATTGAAATAGAATCCCGATTGCTTGAAACGCTATCAGGTCGCGGACTTTTCACCATCGAGTGGGAGAAGAGAAAGAAAAAGTAGAACTGGCACAATTACGGTGATCGGTTAATCGATCGCGTGAGGGATCAACGACGACTCGATACAAAGCCCGCAATTAAAGGAACCAACCGAGCATCTCGATGCCCAGTTAAGCTCAGAAGCTACAAGCATTGGAAGTTGTTCAGAAACAAACGTACAAATATTGAGAGAACAGTAAAATGAAATTTTGTTCGTGAATCGACGGTTAACGAAAACGTAAAACACGTTTCACAGACGCGTAAGCACTAAATCGCAGTAAACCATGAACGATAAACGAAGAAATCAGGAGAACTCGAAGTGATAAAATCGGAACCTAGTTTTCAGTGTTACTGCCTGGTTGTATTTTAGCATTGAAAAACGATATGACCGAGTTACGGTTGATGCGAGAGAGATTTCGTACGGGCAAGCTAATCAATGAAAATGATTAATTCGTAACGAATGGGTGATGTCTTCGTGACACCTTTTCTCTAGAACACTCGGTATTAAAACAGAAAACATGGCGAAGTCTGTCGAGAAACTTCACGATTCAAAGTAGGCCTCTGATAGTTTCAAGAGATATGATTTACAGAAAAAATATTTATTCTAAGAGGGAACAAGCGAGTTTCATTTTGCAAATTCGTGAAAAAGAAGAACGACTGGAACGAACATAAAAAAAACAGAATTTGATCGTTTCCATACGCATACTTGACAAATTAATAGTTTCGAACGTCCGCTTTCGTTAACCTAAATTTGCTGGTTTTTTTGGACGGTTTATGACACGTACCGTTCGTTTCCATTTTGCGATTTTCTCGCAACACTGTTCGTTTACGAGCCGTGCCACTTTGTTGCTTCGTAAATGGGCCTATTTTGTTTTTCTAAATCAGTATGCAATTCCCGTGATCTCTTAAAATATTGGTTGAATTTTTTCCACCTGATGATTTATGGTATTTTATCAGTCGGTGTTCAACGACTGAATCGCTATGTGTGGATCTGTTACAATTTCTAGCATCCTTTCTCTGATAATATCCTATCACGAGCTTCCGTTTTCGGGGGAAAAATTTCTGCATTGAATTATTGATATGTTACGTTTTATTATCGATAATTAGTCTGGATTATGCAACGAGCCAGAATTACGACGAACGTGTACGAGCTATTATCGTGTAATTCTTCGTGCACTGGTGAACAAAAAAAGTACTAATTGCACTAAGACGCCTGGCAATTATATTCAAAGTTGCGGATCTGATTAGCGATTGTTACCATCGAGGGAAGTAAAAACGATCTCGTTAATTCTGTGAAACAATGTTTCGTTTTAATGTACATTTTAATGGTTCTAAAGGTAGAAATAAATCAAGTAGTACCACTCCCTCTAATGTCAGACGACAAGTAGTGCCGCTCCCTCGATGATCAGACAACAATTATTTCAGAAATAGCACCAAATATTCGAAACAATTCTCTTTTATTACACATTTATTTCTATATATCCACTGATAATAAATAAATATACGCTTGGTTCACCTATCGATCAGTGTCGACGTGGATCACACTCGAACAACGTACGATCCTCCGCGTGGTATCCATAATTGACGCGGAGAAATCGCAATCAGCCGAGAGATTGTTCCAAATTTGTAACACAGAAAATGAGGGTTCAGGGGTCATCCGTCTCTACGCAACCTCATCGTTCGTTTCTCTCGCAAGTGTTCCTCACGACGGCATTCAGAATCCACGCCGAACGATCGCTAATAAATTGTCGTTACAAAACCGAGAATTCTCTCAACCACAAGCATACATCTTTGCGTCTTAGGTGTTGCACATACGTCGTATAAAAAAATTTTTATGATCGAGTAAGCACTGCGTAGGAATATTAGCATTCTTTTAGTCTCTGACCCTTTTACGCCTTGCTAATAAAAATACTACTCGGGTCACAGCAAGCAATTAACATTTTGAATTTAACAAATTAATTTATGACCACTCCTGGTATTTTTTTTCTCGAAAATGCGTAAGAATTCAAGGTTATGTCTGTTCACCAAAAATGATTGCAATTGACCCCCACAACCGAAAATAATTTTTCCAGAACGATTTGAAATTTTTTCTTTTTCAAGGGAATCAGGGTAGCCATGGTCAGACATTGTATTCGGTAAAGAATTTTTTTCTCGAAAATGCGCAGGAATTCGGAGGTATGTCTATTGACCAAAAATTATTGTAATTGACCACCCTAGTTGAAAATAATTTTTTTTAGAATGATTTAAAATTTTTTAATTTCGTCGATATCGAAGTCCAACTACCTCGTAACTGATAGTTTCTTGTCGATGGTAGCTTCGAGATAATGCTATCGTTTCCATCGACTGCAATTCATTAAATCGATTGGGAGGAAAAGAGAGGGCGACCGATCGACGATCTAGCGCAGATAAATCACTGATGGCGAGATTCCTTCCAATGCGTCGCGATGTCAAATAGTCATCTCTCCGAGTCGATTATTGAGTCGCTAGATCAAACATAATTGCATCGTTTCTGCCGCGTATCTCTCAATTAATCTCGATTACTTGCGTGAACGAAGCATTAGTGTAACGGACAAATTGGATACTAAGTAATGGCAACCTGTGTCCATCCAGTGATTATTAGATACCTTATCAAGATTCAATTTTTTAGGTGTTATCGTACTTTTCGTTGCATAATATTATCTTGTAATTTTACCTTCGATACTAATTTTAAGGAGACAATTTCCCATCACTCTTTACGATGAAAATAATGAATATAATTTACTTTATATAATTTGGATCGTTCTCTCTTATTCAACATACCAACATTTTAGTTTCTAATTGTCGTTATCACTTCCGATCTACAAAGCAATTTGTTTCAATGTAATTACTTGGTTTCGTAACTTCGATCTTAACCTTATGTAAGTTTAATACTGCTTTCTAAAGGTTGTTCGCCTACGCTTCTACTGTAAAGAGTTAACAAATATTATGTTTATAATATTGTTGTAGTAAAGAGTGCCAGTTCTTTCTCGATCATTTGAAAAATTGTTCTCTTCTTCGTTATTGATCCTAGAAGAATGTTCTCCTCGATCATAACGGAATCGAAAGAACCGTGGTTCGAAAATTCGCGGTCACGAAGCCAAAGAGTCTATGAAATGAAAGTGCGTGTAACCGCAATTGGCGCGATTCACCTTTCCCTCGTGTGTTTCTCGTTTTCGCGCACGGAAACTGTGCCAATCGCCAGTCAGCTGATTTTACGTACGCAAAAGGCTAACGTGTTCCTGTGTATCTATGTATTCTCGTACGATATTCAATTTTTTAACGACGAAAAATAAGGAGCAGCTCAAGCAAGACTGTTCGATCGAATAAACGTTACGAAAAAATCGTTGCACGGAGTTTCTATTATCCGTGAAAAAAAGTCCGCAGATCTCTGGATCGGACGCAACGTTTGTCATCGTGCTCGATTACGTTTCGTGGATCAATCCGCGCGTAATACCGCGGACATTTAGATCACGTAGAACAATCATTTACCATTTCTGCCTTGCAACGACGACGTTTTACGACCCGTTCGCTATTTATCTTTACGAGAATTTCGTAACCTTGTTGCTTGAATGACGGAATAACAGGCTATTGCAGTTTCACGATCGTCGACCAACGATGATGGACCGTTCGAGCGTTGCGACTGAATTTTCAATTTTAAATTCATAATTTACAAGATAGATGTAGTTTGTCTTTGGTAACTGGGTGCTAAAATTTCCCATTTTTATTTCATTTAGAAGACAGTTTTCAAAGTCAAGGCAA